TAATGAAATTGGCCGGCCATCCTTTGGCCGTCCCGGCAAAAAAAAAGACACAGCTCTAGCTTGAAATTAATATTCAGGGATTCTGAAGGTACGCACAACACATGCAGGATCACAGATCGAATTGCAAGTGGGTTATTGGTGCCGGACATGGTCCAAGATGGACCTCTGGCTAGCTAGCCAAATTATATGCCATCAATCAGACCATGCATTCACGGGCATATTAAGCACCAAAATATCCTACTCCTATCATCATCCATTTTATGCAGATCCAATCCACCGGCCTACGGAATATTGCATTATTGGTAATAAAGATGCAGTCAACATCTAGCTGCTGATTGATCATTGCTGATGAGACATCCAGCCTCTAGAAAACTGCAGGTTTATCAATCAATGAATATACATTTTGATTGCTTAGAATCTATGATAATATACTGTACAATTGACAAATCCAACACATAACTACCCTACGGTTCAAGATCCCAGCGACAATTGACTGAGGACATATAAGTTTCGATACATTTATCGTACACATCAACTTAAAAAACTGACACAAGAAATTCTAAAAAAAACATATATGTACTTCTAATAGTATTGCACATATATGTATAAAGTCTAAACTTCATATTACAAATGACAGCAGCTAGCCAACAGAACGGTTTACACTTCAGCTGCACAAATTACAGTTATTCGAAGTAAGTGTTACATAGAGGTAAATTGAGCAGAAGAGTTGCACACATAGTAAATCATTCAGAGTAACTGCGATAATTGGTAGTTGCAGGAGGATCTATCACCTATGGCATCTGTCAACAGAGTTACCTGGGCGTCGTCATGCTGGATGCTACCCGTGCAGATCAGACAAACAACAAGAACAGGCTACAAGATACGCAACATGTCCATACATATGAGTAATGCAGGCCCCAGAAGGGCCCTTTTCGTTACAAATAAACTAATCCAGGCACCTACCCTATGAATGGGATGTAATTCGGTATATGCAATCTTTTGAAACTTCCTTATTCATTCCCCTGATATCTTTAGATTAGAAAAGCCACACCATATCGTTGTCATCTCATACATGTCTGATTGTTCCCCTTGCTGAAAAGATATTTGGAAAGTTAACAACCGAGAATGATGAACCTAATCTTTGGTAGCTACCCTTTCTGTGTTTTTCTTCAGGCACATGGTAAATTGCCTAGAATATTCAGTGTTAGTACTCCACCCAGTCCAACTGATCTTTTAAAACCAACTTATCCATAGGAAACATGTTCTTTGGATGTGGTAAAATACGCAGAAAAGCAAAAGACCTTCATTAACATCCTCATCTGAGCATCTAAAAGCAAGGAAAGAGAGAGGTTGCATGGTCGTCATTTCATGCGTTGCACATCTTACACCACTAAATCTTTTGTGAGCCTTTGCTATCGCAGTTCACATTTCTCATTGATGAGCTGAAAGGTATGGAAACCGAATAATGCTCTTCACCGGCCGTCAACTGGGCCAGGATGAATCATTCATTCACATCATTCTTCTCAGGTTTTTATCATAAGGATTGTTACTGCACTGGAGTACCCTTCCTCCCTGATAAAAGCAGGGAAGATCCAGATGGAATGGAACAGATGATAGCTGATCCCAAAACAAAACAGAAGCTGCCAAGTTGATCAGATACACACTACATACCCTGTTGTCGGTTTTAACAGATAAAACTCTGAATTCAGTGGAAATTTCCGCTGTTAGACACAGAAAAATAGGAAACAGGGTCGAAGGAATATCGTCCGTCACATAAACGTAGGGATATTTTCGTCTACACCTTATAAAAACTCTTGTAAGTAGTGTACCAGGTTCCTCCACCCAATACATTGATCCCATTCTTGAACTTTAAGATTTACTAAAACATAAATTTGTGGCACAGAATTTCGCATAAGCAATTGAATCCGTGTGATGATCATGCGAGGAAGTTAATGGGTCCAAACCTGAAAACCTGCATCTCTCCGGTGAAACCGGCCGCGGGATTGTCAGCTCAAGAACTCGTTAACAGCAAATGCTCTCTGTCCCGGGACCTGAACTGAGCTAAGCTTGCTGCTGAATTGTGACAACCAAAACAGGTGTATACAGTTCGTGGTGGGCCCACTTTGCAGTGATATTTTTGCAGCTTGATTGACGTGGAGAGAATCCGGGGAAGGACGTGGGCCCTACACAGAACCAACGGACAACCGAAACCAGCTTCCCTTTGCCTTCCTTCCTACTAGCTTTGTCTGAATTTTCTGATGCTGCTCTTTCGTCTCTCACGCTGCAAGCCTGCAACTGCAGTATGGAGTTGCACAATTTGCATTTGCACACCCTCCATCTTGGAATTTGGAAAACTATTGCTGATAACATGAATCATTTCGTCTTCATGTGAGCGACGCTGATGCATTCTATCTTCTACTGCAGTGACTGCCTCACTGCAGGTACAGTCACCGAGAGAATCATCTCGCAACAGCTAAGCTAATCTCTGAACGTGCCGAGAAAACACTTAGAGACTATTCTTACCTTACGTGGCATTCATTTTTCTATCCAGTTTCTTTCCCTGCTAAAACTACATCACCATCTAAATTGAAAGCAGCTGTGTTGATTCATGAATCAGCTAAAAAATATCATCGATCTCGCGCGTGGGCCATGACAATCAATCCAATAATTTTGATGGTGGTGGGGTCCGGAGGCCTGCACTTTGCGCCTCCTCCTCGACAAAACAGCTCGATCGATCCATCAAGAGCCAGATGCGATCAATCATACCTGCAATTAACGTACAACCTAATTCCCCTTTATATATGGCTATAATCAGCTGCATCAACTGCCCTGGCATGGCAATCGCTGTAGCCGATCGCCGTTGCTACTGCGATTGCCTTTCTTGTTTCCTCTACTCTTCTGAAGCTCATCGCATTTTTTTTTTCAGTCGGATGTGTACAGATCACCTAATGCTAAGTTAAAGATCACAGTAAAATCACTTTTTGGAAACTAGCTAACTAATTACTTCATCCGTTCTCGAATAATTGACACTAGCAGTACTATTCAAGCTCAAATTTGTTTTTTCCTGAAATTTATAAACACCTAAGGGTGTTATATTAGTCAAAGTAAGATGATCGTAGTCATCAGTGGCAGTAATTCGAGAAACGAGGGAGTAAACAATTGGCTCATATGATTGGAGAATCATTGTCATACATGTAGCAATGAACGCATGGATTATACAAGAACTGAAAGAGGCAGTAACATGCTGCATGGCACACTAACTGAAAGTCTGAAACTCTCCAAGAGAATACACTACCACATCGAGTCCAGAAAGCCTGGCTGTCCTTTTCTCTCCCCTAGAATATACCAGCTAATAGATAGCACAATTTATCAAGGAAAAGCAGGGGAATATACCCTAAATATGGAGATCCCCATGGACCATGCATGTCTGGTCTACTTGCCGAATGTGGAGTTGTCCGTGTACGTCTCGGCCAACCACCGGGTCTCTCGGCTACTCTGGAGGGCCATTTTCTTCTGCAGCTTATGGTGTCTTTGAAACCCTCTATTAAACAGCGCGTTAGCCACGTGGAACGGGATGATTCATTAACATGTAATTAATTAAGTATATATTATTATAAACTTAAAAATAGATTTATTTAATTTTTTAAGAAAACTTATATATTAAAAAAAACATATCATTTATTAGTTCAGAAAACGTGCTAATGAAAAATAATAAAGCTGTAGTTTGGAGTTGAAGTTTAGAATTCAGCTGACACAAATAAGGCGGTATGTGAAAATTACTCCAGAAACCCTTGTGATTAACAGGCAGTATAATCTAGATTTGACAGGCCTTACATTGCTCGTGGTTGATGTTAAATACAGTACTGAAGAAGTGTTCTCTGTTTGTAGTGCATTCGTTTCATACTGGACCATCAGATTGGCTATTCTGTCACTGGTGTTTGTCTGCTCTGCAGCTTGATTCTTCTTCTCGTCCGGAGAAAAAAAAACTGTCACAATACAATACTGTGCTCTTCAATTTTTTTTAAAAGGAAATGCTGTGCTCTTCATGGTACAGTATCAGACTATCTACGCTGTTGCTGACAGTAACAAAGGAGCACATGCACCATGCATTGAGCCCAGAAACCAAAGCACACGTGTCATGGTCAGTTAGAAGCTTTCAGAAAAAGCTGTGCGCAGCCTTCGTAAAAAAAATGCGATGTGAAGTCTTTCATTCTGACATGGTCCTACACAACACTGATGATAATGCACGCGTAAATTTCATAAAATTAAAATTATGAGAAAACTATATATTTAAATCAATGTATCATAAAGTATATAATTAGAACTAAATTTATCACCAAACAACAAATTTAGCAATAAAATTATCATAAAAATTTTATGTCTTCCACCAAGTACAAAACTACAACTTTTATAATTAACTTTATCATAACGGTACTGCTAGATATTTAAACAATGTGATAACTTCAATATTAAATTTGTAGTTTTGAAATACTTGATCTTAAATATATAGGTTTACGATAAATTTTGAAATACTTGATCTTAAATATATAGGTTTACAATAAATTTTGTATAAAGCATACCTATAATTTTATAATACAACATATTAAATATATACTTTTACGATAACTTAATCAACTTCCACACAGTTTTGTAAAGTTTACCCGTAAATCACAATGCATGCAACATTGCAACACTCCAACACACAGGATTTTCAGCATCACATTTTTTTTAACAATGCCGTTGTATTTTGGTTTGGTTGTGAGAATTCACAAGAGCCAAGAACTCTGCATCGTTCTAAAAATAATTACAAAAAAACTCTGCATCGACGGAGAGAGTGAGAGTGGATGGACCACATGGACAGGTGCCCATCCAGCTCGGCTGTTCAAGCCGGCTCGATCTACGAGCCGGCCGTGTTTCGAAATAACCCAAAAAAAAGAGGGGTCAAAACGCAAAAGGGGCATCGCTATAAAACCGCGGCTCCGCGGGCGCCAATCCACCGCATCATCGGCTTCCCTCCGGCTCGAGCCAATCTCTCGCTGTGTCTCTCTCGCGCTCTCCACTAGCACCGGCTCGGCTCGGCTCGCGCGGCGGCGGCGGCGGGGCGGCGTGGCGCCGAGGGAGGGGAACGCCGGTGTGGGGAGGGCGGCGGCGAGGGGACTCGCCGGCGACGAGCTGGTTTGGGTATGAGAGGGGTTACCCATGCGGCGCCGACCACGAGCGTCCCCCGCCGCGGCTCCATGGACGGCCTCCTCATCTTCGTCTTCTACCTCTCGCTTCCTATACGTGGTGGCCGCGACCACTCGTTAATCTCCTCCTCTAATTGTTAGCCGATCTCGCCTCTCCCCCACACTCTCTGATCCCGCTCTCTCTCTCTGCTTCGATTCGATTCGATTCGATCTTCTCCACCTCGTCGCCGTCGAACGCAACTCGGATCGGGAGGATAATGGACCAGCCTTCTAATGGCTTCGCCGCCGGAGGTGCGTCTCCGATCAGAATACTCCCCTGTTCTTTTTTTTCCATTTTTAGGTAGAGAAGTCATTTTTTATTTTATTATTTTTTTGCAAATTGATATGTTCATCAGTGCTATTCAATTTCAACCATGCATACAAATCCCACACGCAACTTTAGATTACTATCCAAGTATAAAATCCAAGTTGATTGTGTTACGGCAAATATTGCTGTCGACCTGTCGTGGACTGGCGTCCCAATCGCAATCGATTGTGTGAGTATGACAGTGCAGTGCTTTAGTGTCACAAATCGTAGGGGTCAGAATGTTTCGATTCAGTAAATGCTGATATGGAGCCATCCTTTTTTTTCTTTTTTTTTTTGGTTCCGGTGAATACGCAAAAGGGGTTGCGTAGCCATGGATTAAGGTGGTGAAAGCAAAGCTAAAATCCTATCGAATATGAAATGTGTACATATCTTTAACTTTATACCTTTTTTGTTCTATGTAATAATTATATAAATACATAAAGTAGGACCCTTCATTACTGTTTTCTTTTTTAAAAAACGAAATGTTGTAAAACGATCCTTTAATTGATTGGGGACCATCCCCCATTGTTTTAAATCTTGCAATATCAGATGAGTCACAGTAGTGTAGATACCATCAATCAGCAAGAATCTAGAGGAAAGGAAGGGATTGTGATGGCAATTTGCTAGCAAAACTGTGAAAGAGATGTGGAACAAGGTTCCAAAAATTGAGGTCTCTAAAAGAGTAAAAGGTCAATAGGAAAAAAATGGTATCCCTTGTCCAGAAGAAGTAGCATCCGAGGCCGAATTGTTTCCTTGTTCTTGATTGCATTTTTTGCAGAATATGCTGCTGCATCGATTAATCCAGACTGCTCTGCGTCAAATAACTCTATGGATCATTCTGCTCAATCTAATTCGAACATGACACTTTATTGCCAAAAACCAACTGTAATGAATAAATCACTAACAAAGATTATTCAGTTGGCCACTTGTGGGCTCGAAAGCACAACTATTTTCAGTCATAAATTTAACAAATGACACATGGTTGCACTGAATGAAACTTTAAATGTGCTTATTCATGTACATGTTTGAGAAATATGTGATATTAGTTGAGCTACAATTCCAAATTGATTTCAATATTTAACCCAGAAATTTACTGTGCGGTGCATTCAGGTCTTTTTCTTCGTCACATTGATGGGCAAAATGCCTCTCCCCCTTCTGTCATTGTGATTGGTGGAGGGATTTCAGGCATTGCAGCTGCTCGTGCGCTGTCTAATGCTTCGTTTAAGGTAAATGCTGTCATTGAAAGATGAAATAACTATATCTCTGTCTTCTATATTCTATTAGCTTATTGTCCAAAAATAAGTTAATGTTTTGATGCTTCCCGGGCCCTTTTTCTTAGATACTTTTACATAACTACAGGTCACACTATTAGAGTCACGGGACCGACTTGGTGGCCGTGTGCATACTGACTATTCTTTTGGCTGCCCAATTGACATGGGAGCATCTTGGTTAGTTGCATCCCAGAAGTAGCTATTTTCGCCGCCTTGCAACGTGTTTGGTTTTCATCTCATGGTTTTATCATGTGGTTCAGGTTGCATGGTGTATGCAATGAGAATTCATTGGCACCACTGATTAGGTTGCTTGGCCTTAGATTATATCGCACCAGTGGTGATAACTCTGTGCTATATGACCATGATCTGGAGAGGTTAGGAGTTATTCCTAACCCATAAGTTTATCCTCAACTTGATGGGCTTTCATTCTCTTACAATTGTTGTTTTTGTTCATTTAGCTATGCTCTCTTTGATAAGGATGGTCGTCAAGTTCCCCAGGAGATAGTGACAAAAGTCGGGGAAACATTTGAGAAAATTCTTAAGGAGGTATTGTCATCGTTTGCATTTCATTTGTTATCCATCAAATGCTTTTATGCAACTCTTGTGAGCTTACTTTGTTAATATTGCAGACGGTGAAAGTAAGAGCTGAACATGAAGATGACATGCCTCTTATTCAAGCCATCTCAATTGTGCTTGACAGGAATCCACACCTAAAGTAAGTGGAATTTAGCATTCACCTATATCTGGAATGGTGGTGCTTTAGCGACGGGGTGAAATGTTCTAATGATATGCATTCACTCTTACAGGCTTGATGGTTTGCAATATGAAGTACTGCAGTGGTGCATATGTAGGCTGGAGGCATGGTTTGCCACAGATGTGGATAATATATCTCTGAAAAATTGGGATCAGGTATGCAATAGGGGGCACTTTTGTATTTACATGCGCACATGAAGAATTGTTGTATTCACGTAGAGCAGTGGACTGACCTTTCAAATTTACAGGAACATGTTCTTACTGGTGGCCATGGGCTTATGGTGCATGGTTATGATCCTGTTATCAAAGCTCTCGCGCAAGATCTTGATATCCACCTGAACCACAGGTATGCAGTTACATATCCTCATGGCCAAGTAATTCACATAAGTTCTGTTTCATAGGTTTCATAGTTATAATCCCAAATCTATAGTATCTTATCTCTTAACTTTCCTCCAGGGTTACCAAAATCATCCAGAGGTACAACAAAACTATAGTATGTGTTGAAGATGGGACAAGCTTTGTTGCAGATGCTGCTATAATAACTGTCCCTCTTGGTGTACTTAAAGCAAATATCATCAAGTTTGAACCTGAGCTCCCAGATTGGAAGCTTTCATCAATATCTGATCTTGGTATTGGCATTGAGAACAAAATAGCCCTCCGCTTCAATAGTGTATTTTGGCCAAATGTAGAAGTGCTAGGCAGGGTTGCCCCAACATCAAATGCCTGCGGTTACTTTCTTAACCTTCACAAAGCCACAGGGCATCCGGTTCTTGTATGCATGGTAGCAGGAAGATTCGCATATGAATTCGAGAAGCTATCCGATGAAGAATCCGTAAACTTTGTCATGTCTCAGCTCAAGAAAATGCTACCAGGAGCTACTGAACCGGTAAATCCTCAAAATTCATTTTCAGACCATGTACAGTTGAGTACTGTCAATTTCAGACTATGAACAGTAGCTCTAACACTTGTGCTACACAACTGCAGGTCCAGTATTTGGTTTCAAGGTGGGGAACCGACCCGAATTCGCTTGGTTCTTATTCCTGCGACCTTGTTGGGAAGCCAGCTGACTTGTATGAAAGATTCTGTGCTCCGGTGGGCAACCTGTTTTTCGCTGGGGAGGCCGCCTGCATCGATCACTCTGGGTCCGTGCATGGAGCTTATTCTTCAGGCATTGTTGCTGCAGAGGATTGCCGAAGGCATCTGTCGACGCAGCTAGGCATCTCCGACCTTTTCCAGGTTGGGAAGATTATCATGAGGGAGGAGATGACTGAAGTCATGGTCCCCTTCCAGATATCCAGGCTGTGAAAGAAGAACAAAGCCTGCCTATTTAGCACCGTGTTTATCCTGCAGCTGCTATGGTTAATATTGTAGCTGCTGCTCTGTAGTTTCCTAATTATCTCAGATCCTGTACCGTTTCACAGTTTGATCGTTTATGTGTATTCAAATAAAAACAGAATAATTATATATCAACAGACCTTGTTCTCTGAATCCATGGATATTGCTTTTCATTTACACATTCCCAGTCAGTACTGCTGAATTTATTTTAGTTTTCAGTGTTTGCCTTGAGACTGGAGGGCTGTAGTAAACTAGTAATCGTCTGATCGAACTTGGCTTGCGCCCCCATTTGCTTCATTTTGCATGTATATAGGGTTGTAGATGCAGGCTAGTTGCAGTTCAATGGTCATAAACAGTGGAGGTTTTTCTTTCTTTACTTTCATACGTAGATCTCCACTAATAATAAACCATACAGCATCCTGCATATTCGGAAACGATTCCACCATCGTGTGAACCATATCAAACGCATTCATTCCACTGTAACATCTGCTGCCACAATTTGCAATGTCCATCCCATCCTGTAGCATCAGACTTGTAAATTGTAATAGCCACAAACAGAGAATACATTAATTCCCTCCCCCACCACCTAAAAATCATTTTTTTTCTTTCAAAAATACATATTTCATTAAAAAATCTATTATTTATTTTCATTGTATTTTGTTTTATCATAAAATGCATTTTACCATGATTTGTATTTTACATATTTACACAAAATATTTAAGACGAATATTCAAACATATATGTCTAAAAGTCAACAACCACATATTAAAAAACGGACTCAATACTACCTCCTTTTTAAATAGATGACGTCGTTGAGTTTTGAATACACGTTTGACTAATCGTATTATTAAAAAATACGTAATTATCATTTACCATATTTTTTAGTTGTTTTATCATTAAAATTACTTAAAGCATTATTTATATGTTACGTATTTGCACAATTTTTTAACAAGACGATACTCAAACGTAACGTTATCTATTAAAATACAAAGGGAGTATATATATTATCTGTGTTCTAGTAGTTCCTCTTGTAAAAGGAAGAAAAGATAAAAACAAACTGGTGCCGACGCCAACTATTTCCACCGCATTTGGGCCCACATGTCCGGGAGCCAAACGCGGCTACGCGACCCAAACGCAAACGCAAAGGCGGAAGCTGGGATCCCGTGTCGTCGCCGACTCCGACTCCTCCTCCTCCGCTCCATATAAGACTCGCCCCAACCCCCTCATCAACTTCATACCAAACCGAACCGAAGGACCCCACCCAAAATCACACGCGCCAACCAGATCAAACCCACCTCGCAGGAGAAGAGAAGCGATCTACCTCTCCTCGAGGTGGTGGTGAGGATTTGGAGTTGAATTGTGGGGAGGGGGACCTCGCGGGTGTTGCCGGTTTGGAGCCCAAGATAGGGTTATGAGCTGCTTCGCGGACCGCCGCTGCTACGCCGCCAGCCGCCGCCAGGACGGCCTCCTCGTGTTCATGTTCTTCATCTCGATTCCCATACGTACTAGTAGCAGTAGTAGTAATAATTGTAATTCCAGTAGTAGTATTAGTAGTAATCTCCTGTAAGCGGAGTTCCTCCTCGCGGCTGCGTGTACGGGGACGGGAGGACCTTCTTCCTCTTCGTGTTCATCTTCTTCTTCTTCTTCCTCTCTTCCTTCGGCTTCGGCGCTGGCGGCTATGGATCCCAATAGCCTCAAAACTGGAGGTATGAATTATTCCCACTTTTTTGTAATTTTTTTTTCTGAAATTTTATCTGGTAGGAGTACTTGGTAGTGGTGCGTCGTGAAAGGTGGGAATATTTCCCATTGATCATAGTATTTTTAGAAATCTATCTATTGTACTTTAGAATTAAATTTTCCACATAGGGAAGGTGATCATCACACTTTAGATTTTACAAGATTATTAGAATTTATAATTCTAGTTGGGTACAAATTGGTTAGTTAGTTGGTAACTTGGGTATCTACAGTATTATGTAGATTAGTGAGCTTGATGTTCAACGTGATTTCTCTCTCTTATGATTCACATACCTGACAGTAAAAAACATTTTTTGTTCAGGCCTCTTGCTTCCGACCATTGAGAGGCAATGTGCTTCGCCTCCATCCGTCATCGTGATCGGTGGGGGAATTTCAGGGGTTGCAGCAGCCCGTGCTCTCTCCAATGCTTCGTTTGAGGTGACTGTTTTGGAGTCCAGAGATCGCGTAGGCGGTCGTGTCCATACCGATTACTCTTTCGGATGCCCAATTGATATGGGAGCCTCATGGTCAGTCTCACCCTGAATTGTTAGTGTGAGAAATTCACTTTAGATTCTGTTCATACAAGCTTACTTACTGTTCATTCCAAAAATTCAGGCTCCACGGCGTTTGTAATGAGAACTCCTTGGCACCATTGATTGGCTATCTTGGGCTGAAATTATATCGCACTAGTGGCGACAACTCTGTTCTGTATGATCATGATTTAGAAAGGTAATCTTTTAGCTCTTGATCTTACGCTTTTCTTTACCGATCCGCACAATCCTTGTTGATTCTTACATCAACTCTGTCAATTGATTCTGTTACAGTTATGCACTCTTTGATAAGGCTGGCCATCAGGTCTCAAAGGAGACAGTTGCTAAAGTTGAAGAAACATTTGAAAGAATTCTTGATGAGGTACATAATGAACTCATTTATACTTGGTACTTCTGGTGCCGTTTGAAGAGCATGTTCAGTTCACTATCTAATTTCTGTTGCATTAATGTTCCAAAAAAAATTTTCTGTTGCATTGCAGACAGTTAAAGTGCGTGATGAGCAGGAACATGACATGCCCCTTCTACAGGCGATTTCACTTGTTCTTGAGAGGCACCCCCATCTGAAGTATGCACATTCTTGTACCATGCTATCAATTTACTCACAACATACTTAATAAATTCCTAGGATGCATCATGAGAGGTTGACTGATATGGTTACCATTATTTGTAGGTTACAAGGGATAGATGATCAAGTCTTGCAATGGTGTGTCTGTCGGCTTGAGGCATGGTTTGCTGCAGATGCTGATGAAATATCTCTGAAAAACTGGGATCAGGTTAGCTGAAATCAGTCTATATTAGCACACTGCACATTCTTATAGTGACATTAGTTTGCTTAGTGAAGGATATTGGTAAATTACATCGAATTGTTTGCCATCTTGCATAGTTAGTTACTTATGTTTGTATTCCTCTTAACTATGCAGGAGCATGTTCTTACCGGTGGCCATGGTCTGATGGTGAACGGATACTATCCTATAATTCAGGCTCTTGCACAAGGTCTAGATATCCGGCTTAATCAAAGGTGTGTTCTTTTACCTCCCGAGCATACAAACACAACAATTAATTTCAGCATACTGAAGTCCCTTTTTCAGTGTATTTTGGCTCCACAAAATTACTTGTCGTTTCACTTGTCAATATTGCTAAACAGTTTTGCTTACTCGCTTTTGCTACTGCTAAATCTTCAGGGTAACCAAAATTGCCCGCCAATTCAATGGAGTGACAGTTACCACTGAAGATGGAACAAGTTACTCTGCCGATGCTTGCATCATTACAGTACCGCTCGGTGTGCTCAAGGCAAACATAATCAAGTTCGAGCCTGAGTTGCCCTCATGGAAGAGCTCTGCAATCGCAGACCTTGGTGTCGGTATCGAGAACAAGATCGCCATGCACTTCGATACAGTCTTCTGGCCTAATGTTGAGGTGCTGGGAATGGTTGGCCCAACGCCTAAAGCATGTGGGTACTTCCTGAACCTCCACAAGGCCACCGGCAATCCGGTCCTCGTCTACATGGCCGCCGGTAGATTTGCTCAAGAAGTGGAAAAACTGTCAGACAAGGAGGCCGTTGATCTGGTCATGTCTCACCTGAAGAAAATGCTACCTGACGCCACTGAACCTGTGAGTTTGCCATCTCAGATCATGGCCACAGTTAGTTCCATTTTCGAGTTCGCATTATCTGAATGAATTCGTTGTTCTTGCGACTGACAATTTGCACTTGTTGATTTGTGTTATTGCAGACGAAGTATTTGGTTTCACGCTGGGGTTCTGACCCGAACTCGCTGGGTTCCTACTCGTGCGACCTGGTCGGGAAGCCGGCCGACGTGTCGGCGCGGTTCGCCGCACCGGTGGAGAACCTCTACTTCGCCGGCGAGGCGGCCAGCGCCGACCACTCGGGGTCCGTCCACGGCGCCTACTCGTCGGGGATCGCCGCCGCCGATGAGTGCCGGAAGCGCATCCTGATGCAGAAGGGCATCCCTGACCTCGTCCAGGTCAAGGCCTACGAGGAGATGGCCGGAGTCATTGCTCCCCTTCAGATTTGCAGGACCTGAAAAAACTGAACCTGCTCCACCCTGCCATTGTCATGGAATCTGGATTGATTCAATTGCCATGCCTATGCCCTGGAATCTTGATGATTCAATCACTCATACAAGTTCAAGTTCATGTAGGGGATTAACTGCATGAATCAAAATTATTAATTAATAATTATGTAATTGTCATGTTATTATTGAATAAATAAATCGAGATCATGCTTGAGATCTTTGTACTGGGACACAGTTTCAATTAATTAATGCTAGTAACAACCTTGGAGTGAATGAATGTGAGTAGTTGGGCTGGAGTTGCTTGTTCGTCTTTTGCTGCTGTGATTGCAACCTGCGAGGGAGAAGTGCACGGCTGTCTCGTCTCATGCCTTTGCTTGCTTTGAGCCTTTGACCGTCGCCGGCGGTGGATGGCAGCTGACCTCGACGTCGACGTGGTGGAACACAAATTTGGCGCCACGCATAGTTCTGAAGATGACAGGTCATCTTGTGACTACAATAAAACGCTACTTCCTTAAAAAAAATTCAGTTTTTAATACAACATTTAACTCTCCGTTTTATTTAAAAATCTTCTAATTAGTATTTTTATTTTCGTTAGATGATAAAATGTAAATAGTATTTTATACGTAACTATATTTTTAAATTTTTATAAATACTAGAAAAAATGTTCGTGCTGAAGTATATTTTAATTGGGTGAAGTATATTTTAATTTTATTATTGTTATATGGATTAGTTAAGATGAAATTTATTGTGGGAGTTCGCTTGGATATATATTTTTTTAGAAAATCATGAGCTGTGGTTAGGAGTTCGAGATCGTCTCAAGGTAGTATGCGAGTTTTTTAAACAGACTTCTTATATGATTCCTTCTGTATTACAAAAATAAATAATTTTAAAAACCGACTCAAATATATATATATATGTATTTACTCCATCGTCACTTAGAGATTTGGGAGGGAGACCGGTTGAGCTGACATGTCCACGATGGCAGAATCTCCCAAGATTCCACGTGGAACCCTAACCTTCCCTTTCCAAAAAGAAAACGAGAGCCCTTTTCCTATTGACGCACGTGAGCGCACCGCTTAAGCCACGCTACCCACGCTACGCCTCTCTATACCTAACGCTTTCCCCGAACTCCAAGAGATCAAAAAAAAAAAATCTCAAACGGCAAAGTCAAAAAAATACTACTACTCCGACACGAAAAACAAACAGAAAATCGGGGGAAAAAAATCTCTGTCCATTCGTTCGCTTCTCCCATGGCGGCGATCTCGCGCGCGATCCGGGCGTGCGCCGCCGCGGGGTCCCGGCGGAGCATGGCGTCGTCGGCGAAGGAGGTGGCGGCGGCCGGGGCGCGGGCGGCGGCGGCGGTGGCGCGGCGCGGGCGGGAGCGGGAGCGGGAGGAGGACGGGAGGCGCGTGCAGTGGGTGTTCCTGGGCTGCCCCGGGGTGGGGAAGGGCACCTACGCCAGCCGCCTCTCGCAGATGCTCCGCGTGCCCCACATCGCCACCGGCGATCTCGTCCGCGACGCCCTCGCCTCCCCGGGCCCCTTCTCCGAGCAGGTGAAACGCCGCCTCCGTTTCTCTCTTCCTCTCTCTTGGCCTTCGCCCTTCGAGGTCTCACAATGATGGTGATGGGGATGGATGATAATGAACAAGAGAGCATGCGTTTTTCAGATTCCAATTTCTTGCTGTCAATTGCTTTTGTTAAGTTGATGGATCCCCTGCATCGAGTACGGAAAAGGCTTTAAGTACTAAATTGTTCTTACTAAAGTCTTATTATGCTATAAGTAAATCTAGATTTCCTCTAACCCCCATCTAGTTAAATCAAGCGGTTAAGATCATTGTTTGTAAGAGTTATGTAAGATTTTTTTGTAGTACGTGTGGTTATAACAACGAACAGGAAAAGAATGATCCTTAGGGTGCCTAAAGAGATGGCTTGATGTGAGAATAGTAATGTATTACTTCTATGTTTTTCATTGTTCTGTGTCTGATCCGATTTCAGCTTGCGGAGATTGTGAATAATGGAAAGCTAGTGTCGGATGAGATCATAATAAATCTTCTGTCAAAGCGGCTTGAAGAGGGAGCAGAAAAGGGTGAGCTGGGCTTCATCCTTGATGGTTTTCCAAGAACCATAAGACAAGCGGTGAGCTAGTTATTTGACCTGACTGTAAGTATGCAAAACACATACTTGCAACTTCTCAGTATACAATTATGATTTGCCTTCAAATTTGCATTTTCATATTTAAGAGGTGAAATCATATACATAGCATGCAATTTGATACACATAATGTGTAACTTGATTGCTGAGGTAGTATTAATCTTTGGCAGTTCAACATTAAGACGCTGTGCCTTTATAATCAGCTTGATCTGGTTACTAGCAGCATTTTGGCGACTAGACAAATCAATTTGTTAACCTTTGCATAAGTTGGTAGCTATGCATTAGTTTACTTAGGTGTGCCATAATTCCATAAACGGATCAGTTAAGATGCTATTTTTGTGCCTATATTGCATATATCGTTGAGGCCAACAATCATCAACTACTTGTTAAATCTTATCCACTGGAACTATTTTGTGCTTTGGTAGGAGATACTTGAAGGAGTCACGGATATTGATTTGGTCATCAACCTCAAACTCCGAGAAGAGGCTCTGCTTGCAAAATGCCTTGGTAGAAGGATGTGCAGCCAGTGTGGTGGAAATTTTAATGTAGCGTCCATTGATATGGAGGGCGAAAATGGTGGTCCTCGAATGTACATGCCTCCACTACTGCCTCCTCCACAGTGTGAATCAAAGTTGATAACTAGGCCTGATGATACTGAAGAGGTGGTAAAGGAGCGATTGCGTGTTTATCATGATTTGGTATGTTCTAGCTTGTGTTATTTTTATTTATTGAATTCCTCACTTGTAATTTGCTAGTAAAAGACTAAGGCTTTGTTTGTTTGGGCATTCGGCAGTTGCAAATTCCTTGTTTTCCGTTAGCATGCTTCCCAAACTGATAAACAATGTGTTTCTTTTTTAAAAAAAAACTTTTTATATAGAAATTTCTTTAAAAAACAAATAAACTCATTTTTTAATTTTATTTATACTCAATTTATCATGCACTAATGGCTTGTCTTATTTTATGTGCAAATGAAAAGCTGAATAAGGGAAAGTTTACATTTAGTTTACTTTGGCATCGTGCCGTCCTCTCTAAGCTGTCATTTTTGCAGTGTGAGCCAGTGGAGGACTTCTACAGAGCACGTGGTAAACTATTGGAGTTCAATCTACCAGGAGGAATTCCAGAATCATGGCCGAAGTTACTGCAAGCATTGAATTTAGACCCTGGCAATGAAAGATCTGCAGCAGCATGATTTTTGCTTTAGGAATGTTCGTTATGTATTTGTAGCCCTACGCCAGAAGTAGTTAAGTAATGAGTATTCCTTGTACCTCTAGAAGTAGTTCAATCGGGTTACCAAAATTATATTGATATAGCACTCAATTGTATAGGTGATTCATCATCGATCTTGCATGATGCCATGATCGATGAGTGTGCTGGTTGTTATTCTTAAATGAGAAAGCTTCCAATAAACCAATACACATTTATTTGTAGCCAACTATGCTTGTTGAAAGCAACACAAGGCAAGCCTTGTGATGACAGTAATATTTTCCTTGCAACTATGCCTGTTTGAAAGCAATACAGAGCAACCATTGTAATGAAATTCTGGTGCTATTGACACATTGAGAGTGTTTGCACATGGTTCTGAAATTTCCCTTGCCCCAGGTTGGGTCTTATCTGAATATGCAAGTAGCCTGCTGAATACTACCTCCGTCCCATAATAAGTCCCATAATAAGTGTAGCCATGAGTTTCTGTGCCCAACTTTAATCGTTCGTTTTATTTGAAATTTTTTTATAATTAGTATTTTTGTTGTTATGAGATGATAAAACATGAATAGTGCTTTACTCGTGACTTATGTTTTTAATTTTTTTAAAAAAAAATTTCAAATAAGACGAACGGTCAAAGTTGGACGCGGAAAGCCATGGCTGCACTTATTTTGGGACGGAGGAAGTACAGCAGAGGTCACAGACTCAGTTCAAGTAGCAAATCTGTCTTTTCGAATGCAATCTCCTCACGGTAAGAAATGTGTCTACCCTTTTAGCAGGAACCAAATAGTATCTGGATTAGAAGAAGGTATCACGGTTAAAGGCGTTAGGAATTGTTATACTACAGCATTGGTAGCAACTCACCGTCACAACGGGGGTGTAGCTCATATGGTAGAGCGCTCGCTTCGCATGCGAGAGGCACGGTGTTCGATTCCCCGCACCTCCAATCTTTTGATCTTTTTTTGATTTCCATTTTATCATAACTTAAAACCTGTTTTTTGTTTTTCATTCCACCACAGCTTCATCACTCAGAACTTCCATTTCATCATAACTTAAAATCTGTTTTTTGTTCTTTTTTTTCATTCCACCACAGTTTCATCACTTAGAACTTTATTTTCTTGTGATGAAATGAAATGAAAAACAAAGAACTTCGTATTTAGGTAGTACAAAATTGGAATAGGCCGTAGAAGGTGCCTATGATTCTGGGCTCTGGCTGTCCGCTGATCCGCTGGCCGTAGAAGTCAAGCCCATCTCACAGTCTGCAGATCGCTTCTTTTTACAACCCAACGGGCCATTTTCAGAGGCGTCACCCGTAAATCCTTGGGCCAATGTGACCCAATCAATTTCGTGAAAAGTACTCCGTAGCAAACAACGCGCGCGCGTTCCCTGCAAAAAACGCCGGAAAACGCATTGCCGAGCGAGCCGTTTCAGCAAATAAGGGATCGTTAGACTTTATCAGTGACTGTATGAAACTTTTATATATGTGTGTGTTCTTACGACTTAAAAGATAATGCTGAAAAATTTATTTCAAAATTTAAATTTTGGTTTTGACTTATTATATATTTTTGGGGCAACCGATGGGGCTATGAGGCTATGAGCTATCCATCCATCCATAGCGCAACGTGTGACAGCGTGAGGTGACAAGATGGAAAACCGTGAGCCGCGCCACCGGTGTAAACCCCCTCCCTTCACGCGCGTTTACTTTGCAAGCAAAGGACAAGGAAAAAAGCCGTAATTGGCGAAGAATGTTCTTGGATTTGATTAGCAGCGGTACGGTAACACCTCTAGCTTGCATTTGCATGGTAGGGTGATTTGGCTAGGAGAGCAGGATCATCCGTGCATTCAATTTTCCTCATTTCTTTTTGCAGGCTCAATAGAGGAGAGGAGGGGCCTAGCTAGCACCAAGATAATGCAGCAAAAAGGAGAGAAGAGAACATGTCATCCAGTCCAAAGTGCAAACGTCTCTATACAAATGGAACATATGGAGTGGACCTAAGCCTAGTTGCTTCTGTGTCCCAAGCTCCCAAGTGTCAAAGCCTTAATGTGCAAAACCACATCTGTGGGGACTCCTGAAAGCAAACTAAATGATTGCAAAAGAGTTCGTTTATTCACCTATTTATTTATTTATTTTATTTTCTTTCCATGTGTCTGTTGTTTGATACTTTGATTGATCATGTGCTAAACTGCAGAAAAAACCAACAGGCCCAGAGTACCGGCGAAAAGGCTCCTCGATGAAAAGTGCAGGGATTCTGGGGGAGTTGCCAGTGCGCCACCGTTGGATTTTTGCACACATATAAACAGGGGACTCTGCTGCACCTCTCACACAGTAACATATATAGGGACGGTTCCACCAAGCACGTTTGGGAAATGGTTTTTTGAGCAACATCTCATGCGAACAATTTAGGCACTATTTACTTGTACCTTCACCTTGTACGTGTGCTCCATCCCATAGCTGCATTATTTGCATCAATCATTTTAATTGCATATATACATACTCCCTCTCGTATTTATTTTTTTTAATAAATGACATCTTTCACTTTTTATCACACGTCTTTTAATAAGACGAAATATCAAACGTATGATAAAAAAAATCAATAACGCCATCTATTAAAAGACAGATTGAGTATATGCGAGACATTTAATTATTTGCCACCTCTCAACAATTTAACACTCGTGTGACATAGGAGTAGACGCATAGGGTAACAAATTGCTAAACGTCAAGTAATCTATGAGTAGCAACTAGCAAATACTTAAATATCTCCTAATATGTTAGCATTGCACCAAAGTCTATAACTATATTGAGCTTTGTCCTGTCCATGGTAAAGTGTGGGGTTAAAGTGTTAAAAAGCTATTGGTAGCAGTATCTAGTATGGCGTGGCAGGCCGGTGCAGATAAAAGGGGCCCCGGGTTTTGCCCGGAAATGAGGAGAGGACGCCCCGGCAGCTAGCGGACGCTTTGCATTTGCATGCATGGTGCTCTCTACTTCTCCCTCCGTTCCCACGGCAAATTGCAAAACGCATGCTAGTATTTGGCACCATTAGCCTAAGGTAGTAGTATCAGCGTGTTACAGAAAGAAAATAGTTAAGTAGCAGTAATTAATTAAAGCCTGTGATTAAGGTAAAGCAGCAGTGCAGTTACAAACCGAAACAAACAAGAGTCAGCGAACTGAAAAGAAGACCGGGAAGAAGAAGAAGAAAAAAAAAGACCCGAACAGAGTTTTGATGAGCAGTGTCAGGTCTGTCACATGAGAAGAGAGCGAAGTAGCTCAGCTCAGCCCCCACTCGCTCACATGGAACGCCTCTGCTCGCCTCGACTACTTAACCAGCTAAACGCTCGGTTGATTAGGAGAGGAAAAAAAACGAGGGAAAAAACGGGTGGAAACACACGCAAAAACACAACGCCGTGCGGCCTTGTAAATACGGGCGACGCCGACGCGCATCGCTCCCCGAACACCAAACGCCTCAGCTTGCCTTGGCTCTCGCCAGTCGCTACGCCCGCGACGACACGACCGCGCCGCGCGCGCGCGAGCGAGCGAGCATGTCGGGCTCCTCTGCCGACCCCTCGCCATCCGCCTCGACCGCGGGGGCGGCGGTCTCGCCGCTCGCGCTGCTCCGCGCGCACGGCCACGGCCACGGGCACCTGACTGCTACGCCGCCGTCGGGGGCGACGGGGCCGGCGCCGCCGCCGCCGTCGCCGGCGTCGGGGTCGGCGCCGCGGGACTACCGCAAGGGGAACTGGACGCTGCACGAGACGCTCATCCTCATCACCGCCAATCGTCTGGACGACGACCGCCGCGCCGGCGTTGGGGGCGCGGCGGCTGGTGGCGGCGGCGCCGGGTCGCCGCCGACGCCGAGGTCGGCGGAGCAGCGGTGGAAGTGGGTGGAGAACTACTGCTGGAAGAACGGCTGCCTCCGCAGCCAGAACCAGTGCAATGACAAGTGGGACAACCTCCTCCGCGACTACAAGAAGGTCCGCGACTACGAGTCCCGCGTCGCCGCCGCCGCCGCCACCGGCGGCGCGGCCGCCGCCAACTCCGCCCCCCTCCCGTCGTACTGGACGATGGAGCGGCACGAGCGCAAGGACTGCAACCTCCCCACCAACCTGGCGCCGGAGGTCTACGACGCGCTCTCCGAGGTGCTCTCCCGCCGCGCGGCGCGACGCGGCGGCGCCACGATCGCGCCCACCCCGCCGCCACCACCGCTCGCGCTGCCGCTGCCGCCGCCGCCGCCGCCCTCGCCGCCGAAGCCTCTCGTCGCGCAGCAGCAGCACCACCATCACGGCCATCACCACCACCCACCTCCTCCTCAGCCGCCGCCGTCGTCGCTGCAGCTCCCTCCGGCGGTCGTGGCTCCGCCGCCGGCGTCCGTTTCCGGTAATGGTCGGTGCGCGCACCGTACACTTAATACTCATAGTAGCTGTTACATCCCCTCCCCTCCAAACCATTTACTACTGTTCTCTCACACTGATATGTGGGCCCACCTCGCAGCGAGCTGAGCTCCGCCACTATACGTTATTAAAAGCCCGCGTTATGATTGGGCTAGTTACGTTGTTGAGTTGAGCTGGTCGTAATTATTTACTACCGCTACATTTTTTTTACCTTTTTACCGTGGGGTTCGGGAGAGGGTGGTCGCGGTAATAATAATGTCCTCAACTCAGGGGTTGGGAGAATAAAGCTGCGTGCAGTGTGGTGCAGTTCATGCATGGGAAAGGTGATGCGAATCCGGATATTTTATGGGGGTTTAATTGAAAGATTTACTCCACGACGATACTACCCTCTACTCCTGCCATGCTGCAAGCATGCGTAATGCGTTACATTGCGAAATCACTCGCTTTGAATGAAAAAAAAGCCTGAAACTTTGGAGAAAAAAAAAGCACCTTTTGTTTTCTCCTCGTGCATGCATGCCGCGCTGCGTATCTTGAACTACTTTGGACTTTTGTATCGATCAACAAAACTATACCTATATTAGCAGTAATTAATACTACATTTGTAGATATCCTTTGACCGTTCTATCTTATTTTTGATAATTAAAAAAATTAGTTACATTTAAAAATGCTATTTATATTTTATTATCTAATAACAATAAGTGTATTAGTTAAATATTAAACGTTGGATATGAATAGTTTAAAACGTTGGATATGAATAGTTTAAAACTGTATTGTTTTGGGGCGGAGTGAGTAATTGATTGATCGATTAATTAAGTGGTTGACTAATGTGTGTGTGATTTATTTGTGTAGCGGAGGAGGAGATGTCGGGGTCGTCGGAGTCGGGGGAGGAGGAGGAGGGGTCGGGCGGGGAGCCGGAGGCGAAGCGGCGGCGGCTGAGCCGGCTGGGGTCGAGCGTGGTGAGGAGCGCGACGGTGGTGGCGAGGACGCTGGTGGCGTGCGAGGAGAAGCGGGAGCGCCGGCACCGGGAGCTGCTGCAGCTGGAGGAGCGGCGGCTGCGCCTCGAGGAGGAGCGCACCGAGGTCCGCCGCCAGGGCTTCGCCGGCCTCATCGCCGCCGTCAACAGCCTCTCCTCCGCCATCCACGCCCTCGTCTCCGACCACCGCAGCGGCGACTCCTCCGGCCGATGATCGCCATTGCAATCATATGCAATGCAGCAAGGACGATCGATGTAAATAACCCATGGAGATGCATGGATCGAGGCATCGGATTATTGTTTGGAATGGCTGCAAGAAGAGGAGTAGCTATATATTTTTTTTTTTGAGTGTGCATCGCCATCGCGTCGTCTGCGAGTATTGGGAGTACGGTGCATTGCATGCACAACGCCTCCGTTTCTTGATTTCTTTCTTTCTCTCCTGTGTCCTGTGATTTTTTTGTTGTTTATTCTTTTCGTGCAATTAGTGGAGAGACTGGCAGGTGTGTGGTGTGAATGATCGAAATGGTTAGTGTGGCTGCTGCTGCTGGTGCTGTTGCTGTTGCTGCGTTTTTTCTTCTCGGGTGTTGGGTTTGTCGTGGACGGCGATCATTAGCGGCACAGTGGATGAGAGAGCTGAGCTCTAGCTGCAGGTCGCTTGGTCTCGCTGCGCTGTCATGTGATCACTACTGCGCATGGGGGCCACGGTTACCGCTATAGCTGCTGCAACTGCGTGCGAGAACGAGCTCGTGCTGAGCTATACAAGCTTTGCTGCTACTTCTGCTTGCTTTTGTGCTATGGTGGTGTTGGCCGAATCAGATCAGAGTTTGTGCTACCACTTTACATTCGAGATTCCGCTTTTGCCCCCGTGGTGTACTTGCAATATACTCCGTTCATAATTAAACTAATTAACATTGAATTGAATTGTACATAACCTAATATAATAAATTAAATCTGATCATGCATATCCAAATTTATTGTATTAGATTGTGTCACATTCAATCTTAGGTTGATTTATTATGAGAGTACAAAAATATACTCCCTCCGTCCTATTTTTAAGTGTAATTATGAGATTTTGTGTCTAACATTAGACCGTCTGTCTTATATAAAAAATATGATTTTTTTTTTAAAAAAAGTCACGCATAAAGTATGTTTTATCTATAATAAAAATAAAAGTATTAATCAAAAAAAAATTAAATAAGATAGATGGTTAAACTTCGTTGGACAAAGAAACACACTACTGCTTTTTTTTTTTTGACAAAAGGAGTACTAGTACAGTACTACGTTCGTGTGGTGTAATAATTGTTGAGCACAAGATAGCATGAGATCGAGCACAGCGGAGTACGTACTCATGCAAATCACCTGATACGACGACGCCCGTCCATGTCCATCGAGTACATGGAATTGACGTGCATTGTACCGATCCATGCATGCACTGGCTACACTCTTCTGTCAATTAATTAATGGTATCACTAGTACGGTACTCTAGCTAGCACAATGTTGTGATTTGCAGATGGTAATCTGAGCAAATGACAATTAATTGTAGGGACGTGTGTCTCTCTGCATTGCCGGGTAAGCCAAGTACGCTGCTCCCATTTCAAGTCCGGATTAATGCAACGCACGCATGCACGCACGCACGCACGCGGCCAAGTGATCAAGACCGCGATTACCCCACAGTCCCACACGTATCTACGCTCGCCGACACACGCGCTAAACCCTCACTCACCTCACCTGCTTTTGCTCGCGTGCATGCATGTGTCTCGTCTCACAGCATTGAACTCCTGGTCACTGCAAACTTAACTGTGGTTTAAGAAAAAAAAAAGTGATAAGTTCCATCCCTTGAGGGATACAACCTTACTGTTTACTATATGTTATCTAAATAGTTATTAAAAAATTAAAAAATAATAATATAGATTAATACAAAATATATCACATGCAAAACCAAATTTAATTTCTATAAGCTGCAATAAAAAGAACAAACTAAACTGAAAATAGTTACCGTACATTCACGTCTACATTGGTTATTTTTTTTTACAATTTATAGGAGTTGAATTTTAATTTGCATATTTGTAAAGTGATACATTTCATATTAATCTATCTTGCTAAATTTTTTAATTTTTTTTAACTATTTATATGATATGCACAAAATGGAAGGATACTTCCTCGAGCGGATAAGTTGTTCTCCACATGCATAGGTCGGCGGCCGGATCGAACAGCCGAGCTGAGCAGCAGCGAACACACAACCACCTCTCTAGTATAGCTAGCCCTGCATGCACGACACATATATTACTACTAGCTCGTTAGTTTAGAGACGATATCGTAGACAGATTAATCATGTGGTAGTACGTAGTACGTGCTGATTCTCCAGGTTAACAACCAGCTAGCTCTCGTAGATGCTTTGCTTACGTTACAGACAGTAGTACGTAGCTCCTCGATCCCTAGCTAGCCTGCATGATTCCTCACGATTTGTTTCTTCTTGTGAAAAGAATTTAATTACTTATACGAAGTACGTAGCTTGTGTTCCACCGAGAAATTAACGCGAGAAGGAACTAGTAGGGGAGAGATTCTCTTCTCTGGTCGATTCCACTAGCTACTCTGCTGTGCTGCCTGTGTGGTGGGTAGCGTAGCTTTGCCAAAAGCTCGCGATCGATGGATCATCGCATGGGACGCGCGCGGTCAAAAAAGGCTCAAAACGCACACACGATTCTGCGATTCTGCGCGGGCGGCGTGGTGGTGAGGAGAAGGCCGTCGCGCGAGGTAGGCGGCCGGCGAATCGCGGGGTTGGTGCGACGGCTGCGCTTTGCTGGGGGATCAACCGGCACCGCCCTGTGCTGTACTACCTGGGCTATTATGCTAATCTATTCTAGCGAGAGAGGGAAGGTAGAGACTAGAGAGAGAGAGAGAGTGGGTGTGGGTGGACCGCTGTCTTGTCGCTTTGCTCCCATCATCTCACCTCACCTCACCTCACCGTCCCCAAAGGCAGCGCAGATAGGGGCATTTCGGTCTTTTCATTTTGGGCATAAAAACAACCTCTAATTTTCCATTGTCTTGCCTGGTTATTCAACGGCGAGAAACCAAGTTAGGGAGAACTGTAAAAGAAAGTCTCAGTTATAAAAAGAGTTAACTTCTGATAATAAATCTGACCAATATTTATCTTAATTAGATTCATTGTTAAAAATTAGTTTTTTGGGACGTAAGGTGTACTTGTACTCCTTGGAGATAGATTTGTTTTCTTTCTCACATGATGTTCCCTGTTTCATGTATGTTGTGTAAAAAGTTAAATTTTTCAAAGAATTGAATAATACAGATCAAAAGATAGCACATGATATGCCACTACACAAACATATAAATTAAAATTCAACCTATAAATTTAGAAAAAGAACCCATAAACTATTTATTATATATTCGTAGTCAAATTTATTAATATTTTTGCTTAGCTTGTATTAGTTGAATCTAATCTTATAAATATGTTTGTGAAGTGGTATATTATATGTTGATTTATCTTATTAATTTTTTAACTTTTTAAGATGATATATTACGACAACACAAGTTATGGTAATCTACATCGTTCATCAACGCTAAGCAAGCAAACAGATCAGGTTAAGATATCAGGGGTAAAGTAAGGTGCTCTCAATAAAACATATACATCTCAGCAATAGACTAGATTAATAATAAACCATCTCAATAGTATGTCTATATGGGTATTTATACCTCTTTAATCCATTGCCTCGTTTTTCTCTATAGACTATCTCCAGGTTAGTAGATAGTTTTGCTTTCTCTCTTCATTTAATCTTTTCCATATAGGAAAATATGCTGACATGGATCTTTTATATATAGTCTATAAGAGCACCCGCAATGTTAAAGTAAGGTACTATTTATAAAACATATACATCTCAGCAATAGATTAGATTAATAGTATACCACCTCAATAGTATATCTACACATGAGTATCTATAGCTTTCTAATCTATTGCCTCGTTTTTCTCTATAGACTATCTCTAGGTTAGTAGATAGCTTTGCTCTCTCTCTCTTCATTTAATCTCTTTCAAGTAAGAAAATATGCTGATATGGATCTCTTATAGAGAGCCTATAGATAACCATTGTGGGTGCCCTAAATAACTATTACGGTTGACCTCATATACTGAGATGGCGGCACAGCGTATAGGATAGTACTCGTACGTTTGGTGGCGATCAGGCTTTAATTGATTTTGGTGGCGATGGCGATGATTTTGGTGTGGGAGAGTGAGAGGAGAGGAGAGTGGACAGGACACTGGACACTGGACACAGGCGGTGGTGGTGAGGTTGGCTTGGAGTGCTAGTACTACACGTACTACTACTACTACTGGGAGTATATGGATTCCTCTCCCCGCTTTGTGGTGTCAGAAAAGGCCCTGACAATCTCCCCTAGCTGTCATCCCCGCTCAGAGCCGTAGTCAAACCCCCTTGACCGGACAGAGTAGATACCATGCCACTCAACTCACTCATATCCCCGAAATGCCCCTCCCTTCCAATCACAAAGGTATACGTAACCCTAGTTAAGGACCTGTTTCGAGAAGTTTAAAATTATGAGAAACAGAAATTAAATGGTACTCTCCTCGTTTCACAATGTAAATTAATTTACTATTTCTCACATTCATATCGATATTAATGAAACTAAACATATATATTTATCTAGATTCATTAACATCAATATTAATATAGAAAATGGTATAATAACTTACGTTATGAAATGGAGGAAATAGTTAGCTTTAAAGAATTTAAAAATATTTAGGTTTCTCGGATTCTAACTCCTACTTTATTTTCTGGTTCTATAACTATATATATTTTTAGAATCTGAATTATAAACTGAAGCTTCCCGAATAGGGCCGAGTTTAGTTTTAAACTTTTTATTCAAACTTTCAACTTTTCCATCACATCAAAATTTTCCTACACATAAACTTTTAACTTTTTCGTCATATCGTTCCAATTTCAACCAAACTTTCAATTTTAGCGTGAACTAAACACACCCTAGCATCACGTTTAGTTCCAAAATTTTTCTTCAAACTTCCAACTTTTCCATCACATCAAGGTCCTGTTCACTTTGGTAAAGTTGCCAAAATTTTGGTAATTTGCTAAAATTTTAGCAGAATTTCTTATATAGTTACCAAAATTTGATAGCAAACTAAATGTAGCAACTTTTTTGGTAACTTTACTAAAATTTGGTAAGATTGTAAATGGCATCAAAGTGAACAGGTCCCAAAACTTTTCTACACACAAACTTCTAATTTTTCTATTACATCGTTCCAATTTCAACCAAATTTTTAGTTTTGATGTGAATTAAACACAGTATAGGTCTTAAAGCTAATTCCACATGTCTCTAGCTAGAAGTAGCCACTACTAGTACGAGTTCAACTTTGCTCCTTTCAATTCACCTCACCGATCATATCGATCACCCTTATAATTCACCGCCCATGCAATGCATAGCCGCCTACGAGTAGTTTTTTTGACGTTACGCTTCGTTGTCATCTTGCTGCTACAGTACAGACAGGGCAGTGTGCTACTACCCCCTAATCTCTATTGTACTACACAATGCATTATGCATGTCTCTAATTAAGCTCAAAAAATCGTAAAATTTGTACTTCTACTCCTTGGACTACAAATTTCTCAAGAGAAAATGGTGTGGCAACGCTGGAGCAGGGGGGCCTACAGGTGCGTACTTGCAAAGAGCAAAAGCATTGGAGCATTGGATGCTAGTAGCTCCACTGAAATGGGCTCTAGAGAGAGAGAGAGCCGCGCTCTGTAAAAAGGCATGCAGATGCAGTGCGTGGGCAGGGGATCCGGAGCTGAGCGAGCTAGCGGTGCATGCAAGCTGTAAAAAAAAAAAAGGCACAGCCTGCACGATTCTCCACGCACACACGCACGCACGCACGCACGCACGCACAAGGACCCCCGTTCCCGTTCCGTCCAACAAGTACGGTGTACTTATATTTGCCAGAAAAGAGCTTTGTATGACTCAGAATAAAAACCTTAATTCGTAAGGGAATGTTTGGTGGTATTTTGCCTGAATTATGTGCCACATATACAGCCCCATCGTTGGGCTTATATCTGGAATAAGCCAAACAACATATTTATAAACGAAAAATAATTTATAAATAAAACTTTTATATATGTGTCCTTAGTGATCTAAAAGCACAGACTGAAAAATAAACTTCTATAAAAAAACTCAAAATCAGCTTTAAATTTAAGATTAAAAATTCAAATTTTAGCTGATAAGTATAAGCGTAAGCGAAAAGATGAGCCCGGTAGAATGGAATGATACATACTGTTTAACTATTCATTAAGAGGAAGTGGAACACGTACCAGCACTAGTTGCAAAACTGAACTTTCTTCGAGAAAAAAAATGTATTGGATTATTTTCAGTTGAACACAGTATGCTCTAATTAAGCTAGTACTGAATTTGGCTAACTCAAGTACGTATAGCAGTTTTTCAAGCTACTAAACAACCCCTTAATGAGCCAATTGTGAGTCAGCTTTAATTGATTTTTTTTAAAAAAGCTAGTACTTCCTGAAAAAGAATATGAGGTGCAGCTACAAACAACACACTGTGAATGCATGGTTCGACGGCCAGATCGACGAGAAACGCCGTACCTATATAGTTAAGACAACAATAAGCTCATGGATGGACGTCAGAGGACGTGGTGCCATTGGAGGAGCGTAGGCCGGGCCCCTACTTACAACAATCTGCCTATACATTCAGGACATAAATTGAGCTTGTGGCCATTTATTTCAGGCTTTTGGGTTGGAGCCTTGCACAAATAGTTGCATTATTATATTGGAGGAAAAGAAATAAAACGAAAGCATGAACTGCTGGTTATATCCGAGAAATTAGTACACACACAGTGGGTTACTGATGATCAGGTGATTTGTAAACTAGTTGAAGTGAGCTGCAGAGGCAAGCCGAACTGATAAGTGATATACAGTGTTCTTGCATCTAAAAATATTAGTATTTTGTATTATTAGTATAAGACTTTGACTGATAAATTGCTCTACTTATATACTATTCATGTGATGAAAAGCATAATCATAAAAAGTACTTCTGAATATAAAACTATTAACACCAATTTGATGTCGAAAAATTATATGCTAATGGAGTAATTATCGGTCTAAATCATGTCTTAACGTAACAAAATATGTCTTAATTTTTTGAACAAAAGGAGCCCTTAATCTTGTGTTATTAGTCGAGAGATCCTGGATTGATTGACCAGAATATATAGGGTCCTCTAGTACGACAGTAGCATAGCTAGCTAGTCATACAAGAATAGAATTACGATGCTATCTTAAACGACCACACACAGGAGTAATTGAAATGGAGTTTACTGGCAGCGAGACGGTGGTACTGGTACGTCGACGGATGCGCCGGAGATGGCAGCTTGTATAAATGCAATCCCGGCCCATGGGCAGGGGCCAAACCGCCACCAATCACCCCTCCTCTCCTATCCGGGAGGGACACGGGGGCCAGTGAAAACGAAGAAGCCAAGCCAAAGCCAACCCACAGCTGCAATAATAACGCGTAGCCACAGCCACTGCCGATGCCGCTGCTGCGAGAGGGTGACACCGGCCAATGCAACAGCGGCAGCAGCAGCAGAAGAGGCAGGCAAATCATAAGGCTTGCCCCCACGCAGCTGCGTGCCAGTCAAACGGAGCCAGTCAAAACTCCACCGTTCTCTTCCCCCACACTGTGTTTCAGCCCCACACAAACCCATCCATCCAGCACCGTACGTGTACTTGTCCAGCAAGGGTAGCGGCGGTGACAGTATATGACATTATTGTACCATGGGGAGAGAGATAATTGGCTGTGTTTAGTACACGCTGAAGTTTGAAAGTTTGGTTAAAATTGGTACGATGTGATAGAAAAGTTGTGTGTGTATGAAAGATTTGATGTGATGGAAAGTTGAAAGGTTAGAAAAAAAAAAACTTGGTTAAAAGTTTGGAAAAAAAACTTTGAAACTAAACAGGGTAGTAATATATAGGTTAGGCCACTGGGATGCATCATGGGTTAAAAACCTTGAATGCTGCGCTGGAACGAGAATTCCGTGGTAGTACTGAACTTTAATTTTAGTCGGTAGATTGTCTGTGAGAGCATGGAACATATTGTGAATTATGGATGATAGAAAAAACTGAATTTTGTAACCATTATAGGAGAAAACAATCAAACGAGTTAAGTATTAGTAGAAAGTTAATAACTTGGTTTAGAAAGGAATAACTTATGACAAGAAAATTTTATGGACAAATTAGCATGAGATCTAACGTCATGGAAAATCTCTGCAATTTTTCTTGCAATCTATCCAAACTGTCGTTCGTGTAAAAACATAAAATTGCTTGAAAATCCATGTTTTACATTTCTATTTTTCTTTTAAAATTTTACATTTTTCATATTAATGTGTTTTCTCATTCTTGCATTTTTCTTGTGTTTTATATATATGGTCATTTCTCAAATGTTTGAAAATCCTCTTTTATATCTGTCCTAAATCGTGCGCTACCTTTTACTACATTTTCTTAATCCTACATTAAAAAGGTGGTCTTATAATTAAGGAAATTCATGAAAACTGAACTGGTTCCTATTAAATTATTTTTTTAAAAAAATTACTTTGATAAAAAGAGCTGTAGCATTCTTACCTTTTGCGTCCAACTACAGTCTACAGTCAGTCCCGGAGACATTTAACCGACATCCGATATATAATGATGGTTCACGTCCAGACAAAGTCAACAGTCAACATGGCATGCAAAGCAACTGTTCACGCTCCTCGATCAGACAAGATAAAACTGTGCCCGTACGGACATGGCTGGTATGGCAGTAGCTCTGATCACCAAGAGTACTCCCTCGGCACAATTAACTGGAGCCTGCCTGAACGAAACAGAACTCAAGAGTACCAACCAAAACCATCACACCCTTGTCTTTTCCCAAAAAGTAAGATGCAGGTAAGCGCAAGGATTACCACGGGCACCATGGTTATTAGTGGACTTTCTCTTCCAGCATTTGACAAAGATCCAAAGGTAAGAAGAACAAGATTTTATCAGCATCTGTTCAGGTATAATAATATTATATGCATTAAAAGAGAACTGGAGTAAACCTACTCAAGAGTTCTATAAACATACTAGGAACCACTACAAAAGGAATATGGGCATTTCCACACCAAAGAAACCAGATTCGTCATTTGGCTCCAAGCACCAGGAGGGAAAAAGAAAAATAAGAGAAGCAATTATGAACCCTCACAGAAAATCACTCGATAATCTTGACTTGGAGCCAATAAAGAAATAACATGAGTTGATAAAATAGGCTTTTAGTCCCACAAAAGGTTGATCATCGAGTTGGCCAACCCGGCTTCTTTGAAAGTTTTATCACTCTCGTACTCCAGGTTTGTGGATGCCCTAGGAATGGGCTGTACGAAATGGAAAGCCTTCTTATCCCCGTCCTCCACTTGAGGATAGCAGAATGACCACAGGAGCTGCGGCGAGATGGATAAAGCATCAGCGAACAATGTAGGAGAAGAGACAAAACTATGGAAATTTATTTCAGTGTTCTAACCTTAATAGGATCCGTGTGAAGGAAATTCCTCTGGATCCTCCTACCATCAGGTAGGCGAATTGCAACTCTGCACAAAAGCTCCCGACTTCCTTTGGGTTCTTCAGGGAGAGGAGGATAGTTCAGCTTAGCACTCAGGCTAGGCTCATTTTCTACCTCAGGTTCAATCTTTTCCTCACTAGTGTCAGAGCCTTTACTCTCCTCAAGAGAAGCCGCTACTGCCCGTGCTAGTTCTTCGTCTTCATCCTCTGTGGCTACTACGGGTACAGGGGTTTTACCTACAAAGAAATGGAACTGTGAACATGTGCTTTTGGTCAACCTTGAAATGCATTGCACGTAACCAGATCCTAACATAATAATAAAAAAAAACACACACACACACACACAATCAATGCTGCGAAATTAATCCATCAAAATATCCCCTTAAGTAGTGGCATCCATATGACCATACCGGTAATATTGAAAATTACAAATTTTCTTTGTGCATGTCATGCCATGCATGGAGAGCTTACGCTAACTTTTGTTATGCCTACCCCTCTTGCAAATAAATCTGGGTAGTTGCTTATCACAAGTCAAATTTGAAATAACCTTAACTTACAATCGACACACAAAGACCATCGTTGTCAGAGGGTGGCAAAACCAGTTGTGACTTTTGCCTAAAGATAACTGTGATTAGACATGATTTAAATTCTAATTCCTAACTACACAACAAATAAATTGTTGTTGACATATAGACTACTGAAATATTTTTTTTCCTTGCGTCTGGTCTATGTTATGCATTATCATTGTTCAAGATGAGTGTTAATGGAAAGTGATATGTCAGCGATGATTCATATCCAAGTTTGAAACATGGCTAAGACAAGTACTGCCAGAAACCATACATTTCCAATGATTTTCCTATTATAAAAAATGTCCATTGAGTCTCGTGTCCATACTATCCAATTATTGTGTTATCTGGGCCATTAAGAATCCTTAATATCTAGAAGTACCTGCCAAAAACAAGTTGAAATAAACCACTAAAACTTATTGCCAGCTATCACCAACAGGATAAAATCTGGTGACAGATGATGTATGAGGATAGAATGACTCGTAAGGCCAATCCTCCGACTCCCATAAAGGTCAGTGATTATGCCAGGCACATCCACCAGATAATCATCGTTATATCATAATTCATAACAAGAGTAAATTTCACAAAACTACAGGTATTTTGACCAAATTATCACAACTACAGATTTAAGGAGTTGTATCACAAAACTACATATTTAGCACCAAATTTATCACAAAACTACAGATTTTAGATTAAGTATCATAAAAATGCATATTTAATATTGAACTTATCACAAAACTACAACTTTTGGAGTTTAAATCCCTAGCACCATTGTTATGGTGGAGCTATAAACATCATTACTTTGTGATTTAATTGATTCTAAACCTATAGTTTTGTGATAATTTAGTTACTAAATATGTAGTTTTGTGACACTTCATCTTAAATGTGTAGTTTTGTGATAAATTTGGTGTTAAATATGTAGTTTTGTGATACACCGAGTTAAATCTGTAGTTTGGTGATAATTTGGTCATAGTATCTGTAGTTTTGTGAAATTTACTCTCATAACAATTACAAGCAACCTCCCAATGACCAACTGCTCCTGGAAATCACGCTTATGTAGTGTAAGAACGACCTAACTGTAGTTGGATGATACAAATGAACACCGCTCCCCCTTATCCAATTTTGTAAAGCATCAAATGCTAGTACAGCTAGCCTACCCCCAACTTGATTGGGAACAAAGGCTGATGCTGTTATACTAAGTACTAGAAAACAAAACACAATGCACCTAGAGGCACCCTCACATGACAATCATCCCTGCTACTTTTTCAAGAATTGGACATCCACTCACAAGGTTTGAAAGTTTTGATTGTATGGAAGCCCCATATCTTTAACAGATGAAGTTTCGATTGTCACGAACTTAGCATTAACTATGCATCTATTCCACAAAAAAGTTATTTCACCGTGTTAAAAGATAAATCCATATAATGTGAAGAAAGATTGCAACGAAAAAAGATAGGCTCAACATATGGTTATTTATGTACTAATGTGCTTGGTTCATATAATAGTTCTGCAGAAACAAACTATTCGAGCTTAAATGTTTCAAAGGGAAAAAAAAACATCACTGCTAGTTAACATATCTTTGGACACAAGCCATACCTTGTTTGCCGATAGAAGTTTCCTGATCAACTTTTCTTGGCCGTTTTTGAGGTTGAGCTGCATGGTGCTCCTTTGGACCTTTGTCCAGGTAAGGCATCAAATCCTGTGGACAGTTCACATGCAGACAGTAACAAGGAATACCATGTCAAATCACAGTTAAGATTCCAGTATTAGAATGTGGAAGTAAGAATGTTATCACTACAGAAGTTAGTAACATGAGAGATGAAAGATAGTAGGTCGATAGGGTTACCAAATTACCTCCAGCAAACGGTCCGGGTGAATCATTCCATTCCACCCACGCATTTTTTGCCCAGTGATAGGGTCAATCAGAAGAATGGCAGGAACAGAGACCAAATTGTAGTAGGTGCATACCTTCCTCCCCTCACTGGTGTCATGGTAAACCTATATTTAAGATGATAGAACATATCAGTAGACAACTAGAGATGCTAAAAATTTGATCCATCTTGGGGTTTGGGAAAAAAAGTGAACATTAGAAACTCTTTCTTTCCAATACTATTCCTAATACATCAGGAATAAAAATTGGAGATACAGTTATGTGGCTCAGGTATAGAAGGCGAAACAAAGGAGTAAGGACCAACCTGCCAGAAAATAAAGTTCGATCGAATTGTCTGAGCCACAGCCTCATTAGCCCAAGTGTCCCGATTAAGCTTCATGAAAGAAACACTCAAGAGTAAAAACTTTGCCAATGCAGGAAAAAGAATGAAGGGTTAACACAAGGCTGCATGACATTAATGGTAAGATCTGTACCATGTGAGAGCTGAACTCTTCAGTCGATTGCAAATTGATCAAGAGCCACTTGTCCAGAACAGAAGCCTCTAACTTTGCCTACATTTATGAAATTCATTGTTTTTAGAAATCTGAATTAAATTGGTAGGTTATAGAAAATTAAAGGATAATCAAATTAGTATTATGAAGTTCATCAGCTCCAGGCTTTCACATGAAAATTAGTAGCAGTTTACTAGTTCTCGTGCACTGGTCATTAGACAACAAATGAATTTGCAACAACTAATAAAAACATCAATGTACTTTCAATGATAAATAGTGTGAACAAAGAACATTAAGAAGCATGTTTGACCATGCCTCTTGTTGACAAAAGGGAGGCAATGTTTGCTTGAGTAATAAACTGAACCTTAGCAGCTAATAAACCGAACTAATTATTTGACAGGTAGGATTGTTAGCAGCTGAGATAAATGAAGAGTTCGTGGGTTACATGGCGTGCTGCTCCATGATAACAATTCAGTATGTCACTAATAGAATATTGCAATTTTCCCAATGCATACCAAATGCCCACAGACAAAGCAGGTTATTGAAGTTTGCAGGCAAAGGCAGCACATGGTCATGTTAGAGATAAAAAGGTAACACCAGACGTTAAATAAGAAAAAAAGGATAGCTGACCTTGTCGAAGGGTCCATTGAACATCAAAGCAAATGGTGGACGATACAATGCCGCCAGATTATCACGAGAACTAGATGCAGCATTCTGCTCAGAATCCCAAACAGCAGATTGCCTTGACTCCTCTTCAAAGTTACGAAATGCAACTGTTGAATTAGGCCGAACGCTGAAAAGAAGTCATAAAACCGTTTCAAATTTAGAAAATGATAGATTTTAAATTAGTAGTCCACGTTCCAGGAAAATCATGCAAAAAGTTTGGTTCTATTAGTGCTATACTTCTCTTTGGTTACTGTGGCTCAACTTGAGTTTCATCTCTAGCCTATTCTAATTTTCTTTAGAGTAAAAGGCTGTTGTTTTAGAATTTTGGTTTTAGCAAAGCAAGACATAGAAGCCTAACAAAGCATGTCGGCCCAAAAGAAAAGAGTACAACAAAATTTGGGCCTTATCATCTCCAAAAGAAAGAGTAGAACAAAAATTGCATCACTTCCCACACTTTAGGTCATTAGGTGTGGCTCAGCGCTATTCCTTCCAGATTTAACAAAAGTGGACTATAACAAAGAACCATAGTAATAATGTCATATGTATTCAAGAGATGTTGCATCTACCAAAGAAATGGCTAAACATCAGCAAAATCAACCCCAATTATAATAAATACTTGGCACAGCGCATTTAAGTATATATATCTAAGTATACCCCCTTAATTTGCAGTGCCATTGGGGCAGTCCCAGATATGCCATCGGTATCATAGAGAATAAGGGATAAAATAAGAGCTGTGACTGATATGTTAATGGTCATTGTGTTGTCCTAATGGGTAGAAGGATAACACCCCGAATAAAAACATTCCTAACTTTATCTTTTTCAGGAGGCAACAATCTCTCCTGTTTTGAAAATAATTGGCAGCAAATGAAATGACTAGATGTTTCTTCTGATCAGTAAATTCTGGTTGAGTTCGAGCTAGTGATTGTCATCATATCTGTTGGTGACAAGTAAAGATATCTAACTTGTAGCCATGAACGAAATTTGTTGGTGACCAACCAAATACCAATAATCTCATTGGTTGCAAACTATATGAAAGAGATGTTAGTCCACTTGGCAGGGGAAGAGAGGGCAGGAGGCTTGACTGCAAATTAGTGGTACTAGAAAATGGTGCTAGCTATTAACATAGCCAAAGGTGCAATTTAGGCCAAAAGGTTTATATCCCATCAGCAAGCCAACAATGATTACCAACAACACATGCTAATTCCATTGGACGAGAACAAAATTACTATAGGTTAGTGACATCTATTCATCACCAACCAAACACACACATGCCTTTTATGAGGACTTAAGCTTCGATTTGAAGCCATCAAAAACTTAAAGCTCCCCTAAACAGCATGGCCTTAACATTGTCGGATAAGAGTTTTTTTAGACAATCACATGCCCCATGTAACCTATCCCAATTTCTCTTTGAACCAAACCAATGATTCTAGGCATTACTAGTACCGATTTTGTGCCACCGATACACCCTATTTGGCTATTTACATGTATCAGTACATCACATAAACCACAATCACCACAGGGGCAGCACAGATATTGCATTGAACTAGAAGTTGTCTCACACAAAGTCTTAACACTTATACTGAGGAACTCAATCCCAGGAACCCAACTATCATAAAGAGTTTGCTAACCAAGCACTAGACTTACACGACCATGGGGGCATCGCCGTAGAGAGTCTCCCGCTTTGTGGGCAGCGGTGCCCGCACATCCTCTTCCTCCCCAAGTCCCTGCAGCATTCCATCACCCAGTGCAGCAGCTGGGGGCGGAGCGAACCTGCCCATCACAGCACACGGTAAGCGTACACAAACCAACAGAAAACTCAAGGACCCAAAAACCAAAGCCCAAACCCGAGAAATCTCGCGCCGATCCACCTATGACCTACCTCATCGCGTCCTCCACCTCAGCAGCTGCTGCCACCGCCGCCGCCGCCGCTTCCGCCGCAGCAGCCGGCGATGGGGCCGGATGCGCCGCAAGGGCGGCCTCGCCGTCGATGTAGAACAGCTGCAACGCCTCCTCCAGATGCCAGCTCGTCATCTGGGAGAGACGGGATCGCATCAAACCCTTCGAATCGATCAGAAGCTAGACTCTAGAGGGGGGAGGAACGAGACGACGGACCTGGAGGAACTGGGTGGCCGTCTCGGGCGTCTGGCCGGCGGCGATCTCGAGGAAGGAGGTGACGAGGGACTCCTTCTCCGCCTCCGTCGGGGGAGCGCCGGCCATGGCGGCGAAGTCGGGGATGGGACCCTCTCGCGCGCGGCGGTTAGTAGGGTTTGGTGGGACGGCGAGGAGTGTTGGTGAGGTGGGGGAGAGGGGAAGTGGAAACGTGCGGGGTGAGTAAGACGAGACGAGTGCGAATGTGCGATGCGATGCGATGGGGAAGTATAGGATTGGAGATGGTATAAGTGTTGGGGGGAGTACGGCTTGGAAGGGAAGAAAGGGCCCATCCCGAGCCCAGAAATGCTCATGCCGTGGGCCTCGTGATTCGATCAGTTCGTGGACCATGCCACGTAGTATATGGGCCTAGGAAGTATAAAATGGGTCGTTTGTCCAGTTGGTCAGATTCCAGTAAACAGTACAACTGAGGTCCCTCAGCGAATTACAAAATTGTCAACTTACAGAACCGAATTATTCTTGGTCTTTAGGTGATATTGACCCTGGTTTTGTTCAACAAAGCAGCTGAGTCAGCACAGGACCCACGTAGGCTCCGCATGTCATGGTGACCAAGTCATTACCCTGTCCTCTTCTCCTCGTCTGAGCAGGCCGGCAGATCGAGGAGGAGGGGGAGGAGACCAGCGGGGTGAGGTAGGAAAGAAGTTGAGCCGGAGCATGGCGGTGGACATGAATGCAAGGTGGGCGTCGTTAGAGAAAGTGGCAGACCAGCCGCCGCAGCCACTCTTGTCCACAGGCGGCTTCACGATGGAGAGGACTAGGAGGATGGCTGCGGAGGTGAGAAGCGGGAGCAGCAGAAGGGAGTAGGCGACGTCGATGACGACTTCTATTTCTCTCGTGCCCTTCTCACTGCTGCAATGTCAAGATAATAGACGTACTATTAGCCAGATCGACGTAGTAGTATTGTCTTGCCACGCTAACCCAAATAACGTTGTTAAAATGTTTAGATCTTATATATAAATAAATTTTAAAATAAAAAAGGTTAAAAAGATAAACAAAAATTGATTCGGTGGCCGGTGCAGCGCATGGGACACGGTGGCGCTGGCTTAAGCGGTTTCCGGCGAGAGAGAAGACGAGGATTTTTTTTTGTTTTTTCGCGGCAAATGGACCACGGACACAGTGAAAAGCCCGGCCCAGTTAAGTATACTAGTTTCAGGCCCACGAACGCATCGCACAAGCAGCAGTGCGGCCATGGCGGCTCCTCCTCCTCCTCCCATCCGAAGCAAGCAGAGCGAGATCTGGAAGGCGGCCATGGCGCGCCTCGCGCTCCTCGCCGTCCCCGTCGCGCTCCTCCTCTCCCTCTCCTTCCTCCTCCTGCGCCCCGCCTCCCCGCCGCTCCCCTTCTCGCGGCAGCAAGCGGCGTCCGGCCCCGACCGCCGCCGCCTCCTCAGGGTCTACGTTGCGGAGCTCCCCCGCGCGCTCAACCACGGCCTCCTCGACCTCTACTGGTCGCTCCCCGCCGCCGACTCCCGCATCCCGGCCTCCTCCGACCCCGACCACCCGCCGCCGCGGCCTCCGCGCGCGCACTCGCCGTACCCGGATAGCCCACTGATTAAGCAGTACAGCGCCGAGTACTGGCTCCTCGCCTCCCTCCAGCCGGGCTCGTCGTCCGCGCCCGCCGTCAGGGTGGTCGCGGACTGGAGGGACGCGGATGTGGTGTTCGTCCCCTTCTTCGCGACGCTGTCCGCGGAGATGGAGCTCGGGTGGGGCGCCAAGGGCGCGTTCCGCAGGAAGGAGGGGAACGAGGACTACCGCCGCCAGCGGGAGGTCGTCGACCGCGTCACCGCCCACCCAGCGTGGCGGCGCTCCGGTGGCCGTGACCACGTCTTCGTCTTGACAGGTACTGTGATTCAGTTGGAAATTGGAAATGTGCTTTTTATTTTTTCCTGAGTGAACTTAAGTGATCAAAATGGCATAATGGAACGGGCTGTTGATCATATTAACCCTCCATTGCTCCCAATTGGTGTGGGTTATATGTTAAGCATTCGATAGGTTAAGTTATGCTTGTTGTCCGTCTATTATATACTCAATCCCAACTCTCAACTAGTATATGATTGGAAACTAGTTTTTTCTCCTCCATACTCAATCCCACTTTCTGACTGATATCTACAGGGTTTAGCTACTCAACTCTAAAAACTGTGAGCTGATTTAGGCTTGAAATCATTTTGTGTGTTCTGTTAGTTACCGGCTATACATGTGATTTGTTGCTCGGCGCCTCAGTGTAAGACTTACCAAGTTCCCTTTTCCAAACAGAGGGAGTGTGCCCAGAACAGTGAGCACATTGACATGTAGATTTAACCATGATAGGAACCTCACAATGCACTCATAAATTTGAAATTAGTTATGTGCATACTTGGAATAGGGGGGTCAAGGTAGCTGGTTTTGGTTTCTTAGGCACGCTTTACATGTTTTCTTGTGTAAGGGAGTGGCATACCCTTGAAATGCCATCATTAAAGAAAAACAATTTTGAACCATGTGACTTTCTGTACATTTGTCATCAAGGGGATATTGGTAATCCTCAGTGTTTCGGAGCAAAAGACACAACTGTTTTGCAAGCAATGTAGGAATACAAGATATACTGTTTATGTTTTCGTTGTAATTGATCTGCATAGTAGCTTATTATTCTTTTGTATGCTCAGGTTTTGTTAAATATTGAGGCATTCTTTGACAGACCCTGTGGCGATGTGGCATGTCCGTAAAGAGATTGCTCCTGCAATTCTTTTGGTGGTTGATTTTGGCGGATGGTACAAACTTGATTCAAACTCTGCAAGCAGCAATGTTTCTCATATGATACAGCATACGCAAGTGTCATTGCTCAAAGATGTCATTGTACCTTACACTCATTTGCTCCCTACAATGCACTTATCAGAGAATAAGGACCGCCCCACTCTTCTGTACTTCAAGGGAGCCAAACACAGGCATCGGGTTCGTACCATTTATCATACTAATAAGCATTTAATGTATGCATGGCAATATTTATCTTCTTTGTAGTATCTGAATCTAAGCAATTGGAAATGAAAATGGAATAAAAGAACATGTTAGTATGATATGGGCTATCTTAAAATTTTATTTTAGAACCTGTTGAGTCTGAATCCACAGCTCTTTGATATTATTTAGAGTAAAGTCCATCACCGGTCCCTAAACTTGTATCGTTGTGTCATCCCGGTCCCTAAACTCGCAAATCGACCGTTCAGGTTCTCAAACTTGTTCGACTGTGTCATCCCGGTCCCTAAACTTGTAGATCACTCGTATAGGTCCTCCAACTTGTTCAGTTGTGTCACCTCAGTCCCTAAACTTGGATTTGAATATCATCTGGGTCAAATAGGACGGTTTAAAGACTTTATATTTAAAAATAATTCATAACTTTTTCATGTGAACTCTAATGAAGACAAACTTTATATCAAACTTGTAGCCCTCGACGCGATCTACAACTTTGTAGTTGATATTTTTTTTTATTTTAAGTCATTTTTTGTCCCAGAATGTAATTTTAATTTTAAAATTACAAAATCTATAAACATGCAACAATATTTTGGGACCCTAAACAGTTTTAATTCAAAAAATTTTCAACTACAAAGTTGTAGGTCGCGTCGAGCGCTACAATTTTGATATAAAGTTTGTCTTTATTAGAGTTCACATGAAAAAGTTATGAATTATTTTTTGATATAAAGTTTTTAGACCGTCCTGTTTAGAGACCGGCGTGACACAACTGAACAAGTTGGAGGACCTAAACGAGTGATCTGCAAGTTTAGGGACCGGGATGATACAGTCGAACAAGTTTAAGGACCTGAACGGTCGATTTGCGAGTTTAGGGACCGGGATGACACAGCGGTACAAGTTTAGGGACTGGTGATGGACTTTACTCTATTATTTATGTATCTACAAGGAAACTATTGCCATTTGAAGCATTATGCTCTCAACAGAACTTTTATTTACAAACCAGCTTTGTTTATGACTTATGAGATTGTTGTTCTGTACTACTGTGCATCTCTATACAGCTTTATCTTACTATAACTTCTGAAATTTTCTTTCAGGGTGGTTTGGTACGGGAGAAACTATGGGACTTGATGGTTAATGAGCCTGATGTTGTCATGGAAGAAGGTTATCCTAATGCCACAGGACGTGAACAATCAATAAAAGGGATGCGGACATCAGAGTTTTGCTTGCACCCAGCTGGTGACACCCCAACTTCATGTCGTCTCTTTGATGCTGTTGCTAGTCTGTGCATACCTGTCATTGTCAGCGATGAGATTGAGCTGCCCTTTGAAGGGATGATAGATTACACAGAATTCGCCATTTTTGTCTCAGTCAATAATTCTATGAGACCAAAATGGCTCACAAACTACTTAAGAAATGTCCCCAGGCAGCAGAAAGATGAATTCCGAAGAAACATGGCTCACGTCCAGCCTATATTTGAGTATGATAGTATTTACCCAGGTAGGATGGCCTCTGCTGCACAAGATGGTGCTGTGAACCACATCTGGAAAAAGATTCACCAGAAGTTGCCGATGATTCAAGAAGCGGTTACCCGAGAGAAGCGAAAACCTGATGGAACATCGATCCCTCTTCGGTGCCATTGTACATGACTCGCGAGACATGATTGTTAGTATTAGCAATCAATCCCCCATGGGAGGAGTTAGTTAGCATTCCCTGCCAATTTATGGATTGTTTGTAGTGCAAATATGAGAGAAATTTCAACAGTAGGTTTATGCTCTTGTTGTCAATTGTATTTCGTCTGGAGTGATTCCCCGCATTGCTCCATGTGTGAGGTTTGTTGGTTCACTGCCATGAGAATTCATATATGAATCTGCCCATTCGGCAGACAATTTTCCATATTACTCAGAGAGAAGCTTGAGACAGTACGTAGTCCCTTATATTTGTTGCTTCTAAATGATTTGGCTAGCGTTCACCCAAAATGCATGCATGATCATGAGCAAAATACCTTTTGATTCAACAGAAAGAGATCCAATCTATGATGTTTGGCAGTACCAAATTCAGGACATGAAAAGCAAAAGGGAGAAATTTTATAGTCTCAACAACATGAACTGTAGCCAAATAACAGATAGGCTGCCAACATGGTGGCCAAAGGAACGGAGATATTGTCATCCACAACATCATTGACAGGAATACACTCCACTACAGTAGCTGCTAATGCAACAAGAGCCAGTTTACCAAGTGCCAGATCCCAGCAGACAGTGAAGTAACCAAGGCAAGAGAAGTAGAACAGCATCCTGTGATGCAAAAGATCCATGAGTTAACAATAACAAGGAGTAACAATGCAAAAGAACCAGCAATGCATTCTGAAGCAAAAACCTACAGTGCAGATAGAAGGAAGCCAGAAATGAACATTGAGATGCTTCCTATCCAGCTCTTGTTCTCATTGAATGGCAGCTTCGCGGAGCCATACCTTCTCCCAACAATGTCAGCAAAGCCTGAAAAAATAAGAACCAAGAAGGTGGATATACTTAGCAGAAGCATTCATTTCATCAAGTGAACTGGGGTATTACAAAAAAAAACTGCAGATTTTCCTAAATTCCCAGGAGATCCAACATCTTACCATCACCACCACTCATCATCGACAACGAAACAATCCCAATAGGAGACTGGCGCCAGAAGACCAAAACACTGACCAGCAGCACAATGACATAGTACAGAGGACCTCTCAGCAATTCCCTGTAAGCAACCAAAGATCATGTCAAGGAATACTATTTTGATTTTTGAATGAAGGAGTATCAGAAATAAGGATCATAGCACGAACTCTGGTTTTCCTTCACGGGTCACCGATTTTACTAGAGCTTCATCAGTGGAAAGGCGGAGCCCGTAGGTCAGAAGCCTTATGCAGTTCAGCAACGGGACAATTGCCGCGAAGAACCGTGCTTCTGTCGAATTACTGCGAAAGGGGCATGATTTTCTTAAGATCTCTAGTCTGATTTGGTTGTAGAAAACATTTCGATGCTGGAAGAAGCAGTGGCAAGGGAGACCTGAATAGTGGCCAGGAAGACATGAACAGGACTCCGGAGAGCACATGCACAATTTTTCTGCTCAGGTTCTGAGATTAATTATGAAAAGAATCAGAAGTTAACAAGATATAATTAAGAAAGGTATAAATTTTATGCTTGAATAATCTATTTTCCTTTGATTGATCAATAAAGAAAGACTTCTCTTTTATCTATCCTAACTACTGTATTTTTTGAACAGTAGCAGTCCATCTGAACCAGTCAGATCTTCCCAGCAATTGAAAATAAATTCAAGATACAGATCACATCCACTGAATTGTATATACCATATTTTACTCTCCGGATAACAGTCAACAGAGCTAAAGAATTGATATTTTTTGAAGAATGGCGGAGATCAAAGCTTCAGCTCCACCTCAAAAAAAAAAGAAATACAAAAAAAAAGGAAAAACGAGATCCGACACCTGTTCGATGAGCCGCCGCGCCGTGAGCCCGTCGAAGGCGCGCACCAGGGAGTACGCGCCCGCGGTGATGAGCAGCGTGGCGGCGCAGTCCCGCAGCGCCGCGGGCGTCGCCGAGGCCGCGAGCGCCGCCACGGCCGGGGCGGCGGCGGCGCCCACGCCGAGCACAAGCCTTCGCCGCATGGAGCTCGCCGCCGCCGCCGCAGGAGACGCGAGCCTGGACTTGGAGCGCGACAGCAGCAAGGAGGAGGAGGCGGCGACCGAGGAGGAGCACGGGAAGTGGCGGACGACGTCGACGGGCCGCGCCGCCGCGGCCATTCGGTAGACGGACTGCAGTGAAGCGAAATCGCTGGTAGGCCACCGCGAATTTTTGTCGGGGCGCGCGCGGGTTTCTCGTTGAGACGGGGCACTTTTGTAGTTTTGTGGAAGCGATTCGTCCCACCTATCCACGGTACTGTGTACTACTGTATCTTTTTCCGAAAATAGGAGGGCTCGTCCAACCCTCCTAGAGTGTACGTAATATCTTTGTTGGAAATAGGATTCTCCTGATATTTATATTTTGGAAACTCATGCTAGCAGGGGTGTGTTTAGTTCCTGAAAAAAAATAAAAGTTCAAAGAAAGTTGAGAGTTTAGAAAAAAAGTTTGAAGTTTATATGTGTAGAAAAGTTTTTTTTGATGTGATATGATGTGATGGAAAATTGGGAATAGGAAGGAAACTAAACATGGCAGTTTTATTCCACACCATGAAACAGAGTACCAATGCAATTAGTTGCGCTGAAACTATCGTTCAAAGCACAAGCATAACATGCACTGGATGATCTCTCGCGCTTTGCTGCAGAATATATACGTTAGATATTGAAGAAACGATGAAATGATTTGAACTGAAATATTATGAAAATGATTGAAGGATGATGGTTTAGCATGTATATATTTAGTTTTATAATGAAATAATTGTAAATATAATTACTATATGTTTATATGTTATAAGTTTTGCGTGTTTAATGAGTAGAATCTATATATATATATATATATATATATATATATATATATATATATATATATATATATATATATATATATAGATTTATTATATGAATGTGGGGAATGCTAGAAAGTCTTATAAATTGAAACAGAGGTAGTATATTTTGATGTTAAGTTTTAGGTGTTTAATAGGTATTAGTTTTATAGAAAGAAGGATTATTGGGATGAGCCAAATACGAGATGGTTCTCCTGATATTTCAGGACAGGGTTCTCCATATGGAGGAAGCTGTTCCTGTCAACTCAGTCAAAAGCTACAATCCCATTTGTCAGCTGTAACGTTTATTAATAATTTAGTTCCCAATTTTTTTCTCTAAAAATATTACATCGAATCTTTGGACACATGCATCGGGCGTTAAATATAGATTAAAAAACTAATTGCACAGTTTACATGGAAATCGTGAGACGAATCTTTTGAGCCTAATTAGTCCATGATTAGTCATAAATGCTACAGTAACCAACATGTGCTAATGACGGATTAATTAGACTTAATAAATTCGTCTCGCGGTTTCCAAGCGAGTTATGAAATTAGTTTTTTCATTCGTATCCGAAAACCCCTTTCAACGTCGATCAAACGTTCGATGTGATACCAATTTTTTTTTCGTAAACTAAACACACCCTAAAAAACAAACGATAGAGCTGTAACAACACGTGATGCTGTACTTGGGAGAACTCATATCCAAAGATAGATAATAACTTCAGTAATAGTAACAGTAACTGTTTAGGACTTTATACATCTTGCGAAAAAAAAAGAGCGATAATAATAAAGGACTCGGTAACAGTAACAAAGATAAGGCTTCTATACTAGATCTTCCCTATTCAAAACTACAAAAGAGATTGAATCAGGTTGTTCCGGAACACTTCGTGCCATCGCCGCCGGAGTCCTGATATTGTACGGGCTGTTCTTGCTCTGTCAAGGAAAAAACATGGCAACGTGTGAGCACATAACACACACAGACATAACACGTATTAGCGGCCAATGTAACTTTTACATATGTTCTTAACAACTTAAAAAAAAGTCAATGATGAAAAAGAAATTACTTATAAAAACGCTAAAATCAACTCTAAAAATTAAAAGTAAACATAAAATTTAAATTTAAAACCTTGGAGCAAGTGCGAGCCTTGGCGTTGCAGACGGGATACTCCTTGGGGCAGCAGGTGGAGTGATCCTTGCAGCAGGTGGCGCCCTCGACGGGGCAGCATCCCCACACGATGCAGTGGTTCCTGATCCCGTAGTTGCAGCAGCAGGTGGTCCCCGCCGGGCACTTGCTGTACCGGTCGCATTGCTGCGGCGGCGATGGCGCCGGAGACGGCGGCGACGGCTTCGGGTTGGGCCCCTTCTTGATCGGGTAGGACGCCATCATGGCGATGCCGCACTTGCCGGTGCGCGCGGTGACGTTGCGCTCCATGCGGATGTAGCCGTTCTCGCCCCAGTCGGGCCCCCACGAGTTGCGCACCGTCCAGTAGGCGGCGCCGGTGGCGGCGTCCGTGCCGTACCCCACCGCCACCACGCCGTGGTCCAGGTTGGTGCCGCACCGGCCGGTGAACACGCCGGAGTCGTAGAGCTGGAACTCGCGGCCGCCGGCGTCGATGGCGACGCTGACGGGCTGGTGCGCCACGGCCTTCTGGAGCGACAGCTCGTCGTTCTCGGGCACGTCCTCGAAGCCGTCGATGGACACCACCTTGCGGCTCCTCTTGGCGAGGTTGCACTTGCCGTCCATGGCCGTGTACGGGTAGTCCTCCTCCGTGTCGAGGCCGCCGTTCCGGGCGATGAAGGCGAACGCGTCGTCCATGATCCCACCGTTGCAGCCGCTGTTCTGCCCGTTCCTCGCGCACTCCACCAGCTCCTGCTCCGACAGCGACACCAGCTCGCCGGTGACGATCTTGTTGATGCCCTCCACGGCGGCGACCGCCGAGAACGCCCAGCAGCTACCGCACTGGCCCTGGTTCTTGACGGGGGCGACGACGGCGCCCTTGTCCCTCCAGTCCACGGAGTCCGGCAGCGCCTCGACGCCGTCGTGGCGGTACGCCTCCCCGACGCGGCGCCCCCTGCCGGCGGGCGTGGTGCCGAGGTAGGTGGCGCGGAACTCGCCGTTGGTGAGGTCGGCGAAGCGGTTCATCCCGAGGCGGAACCCGCCGCGCTCGTCGGCGCGGGCGTTGTGGGCGTCGACGAACTTGAGGTTGTCCCAGAACACGCGGAACCGGCGCTCGTGCTCGCCGATGAACCCGTTGCGCGAGCCGCCGCCGCCGCCGCGCCGGTGCCGCGCCAACCACAGGTCGTACGCGGCGCGCGCCTCGGCCTCCGTCCGCTCCAGCCCCCGCACCCCGTGCTCCGCGTTGTACCTGATGATCGACATGATGTCCGGCGGCGCCGCCGCCGCCGGGGGAGCGAAGGCGGCGAGGATGAGGAGGAAGCAGGCCATGGCCAGCGCCGCCGCTACGGACTTGCCGCCACCGCCTGCCATGGTTGTCGTCGACGTCACGTCACGCCGCGGCGCCTCGAGATCGTCGAAACGAAATCACGTAGAAGTATGTGTGGATACGAAATCGTGCGGTGTTTGGTTGGCTTGTGCTATGTTCTGGAGAGGCTTGGCGGTCGATGAATTTATACAGGTTGGTGGCGTACGGTTCGTGACCGAATTTTACTTGGTCGCTGACGACGTGTCGGTCTCGTATTGGATCTGTATCGTGTAGAGTGTACTCGTTTCTACTCCTAAATCTGACGTGTCACGTTCAGGTTCGGTATTCGATTCTAAATAGGATGACGTGTCACGTTCACACACGGGCCGTAGCAGATTGGGGATTGAGGTGTTACGGCCCGGCCCATTTGGCCCACGAAATATCACCTGACGACTTCTCTTCTCTTCTCCTCTTCCTTTTCCCATCCGATTTCTTCTCCGGGCTTCTGGTAGAGTACGATTTGATACTATCTGCGATTCCGCCTCCCCTCCCCCTCGCCGCCGCCGCCGCCGCGGGGAAATCTAGGCGAGACTCCACTACTACCGCACGTGTCGTAATGGCTCGGAACAAGAAGAAGGTAGCCGTGGCGGCGCCCAAAGCCCGGAAGCCGAAGCGTGATGCAGTAATACCCCGCGCCTCAGTCAGCTGGAGATTGGATCGTTTTTGGTGGAAGGGGAATTGAGCTTTAGCTAATATATTTTCTCGTTTTTTTTTCCTTTTGGTGATTGATTTGTTAGGAGGAGAAGAAGTTCGCGAAGAAGGCCGACATGACGGAGTTCCGGGCGCAGCTGGACTCGCTGGGGTTGAAGATTATCGAAGTTAGTGCGGATGGCAACTGCTTCTTTAGGTCTTCTTTTCGATTCCATTACTCAAATTCTTGCCACTTTTTACAAGAAGAGGCTAATCGATGTTGTACGATATGTTAGAGTACTGTTAGTTTATGAAAGGAGGAATAGTATATGCATTATGCAGTCTTGTGTTATATGGTTACTCATCGTAGTCTGCAGGGCAATGGGCGACCAGCTCGAAGGCAACGAGGAAGAGCACATGAAGTACCGTGCAATGATTGTGCAATACATTAAGGTATGCATCAGATGAGATGACCAAAACAAACATCTTGTAACACTGTGACTTAATAACTGTAGTTAGGGTGCCATTGAATCAATAAGGTATTAGAAATACTGCAAGCTTTGGCTATGACCAAGAAACATCTTGTAACACTGTGACTTAAGAACTGTAATTAGGGTGCCATTGAATCAATAAGGTATTGCACATGCTGCAAACTTTGGCTGTGTACATCTGATCTGGGCGTAGAGTACAGGCTGCCAGGCTGGGTTGTTCTTTTATCTAAAAGACATGCTGCAAGCAAGCATTGGCCTATTTACACTTCATAATCTTTCTTGTATGCATCTTACAGGAGCACCGTGTGGATTTTGAGCCATTCATTGAGGACGAGGAACCGTTTGAGAAATATTGTGACTCTATGCTTGAGGATGGGACTTGGGCTGGTCATATGGAGTTGCAAGCAGCTTCTATTCTCAAGAGAAAAAACATATGCATCCACATGGTAATTTTCAATACAAGCTTTGCAGTATGATTTCTTCAACCTATGAATAACACGCTAGGCAGTTGAGCCTTGCCTAGTCTGTATTTTGAAACACATGGGTGATATAGATCAATGTGCTGCTTATATATCCCCTGATGGTTCTCTGTTATTTTTCGTACTCATTTTCATATTATAGCCTTTCTTCTATAGAAGAGAACGTACTGTAACATTTGATTGATGCCTGTACCATTACTGAATGATTTGCAGCTTAACTCACCACGATGGTACATAAGAAACTTTTCTGATCGTGAAGCTACCAGTATGATTCATTTGTAAGTTAATGTGTGTTCTGCTGTTTTAAACTAATATGCTAATACTGGCAGTAAAAGGACATACATTCTCATGTTCCTTTGTTTTGATTCCAATATAGATCGTATCATCAGGGTGAGCACTACAATAGTGTCAGACTGAGGGAAGATCCATGTCAAGGTCCTGCAATGCCAGTTATTATCAAGGTTTCTCACTGTCCAAATTGTAAACTGTTGGTTGTTTTGTGTCCCTGGAAGGACAGTGAGATCCTGTTGTAGCTCAACTTGCTCTGTTACTAATCTTAATTTTATCCGTTATGAAATTACAGGCAGATGCCAATGTAGCTAGCACAAGCAATAATGCTCAAACAAAAGCAAAGGACCTGAAGAAATCTTCAGACAGATCAAAGTATGATCATATATCGGTTAAATTGGTGATGGCTGGAACTGGATGTTCTAATATCGCTGCAGTTGAACAGGTATGAATTATACAACAAATCGACTTTCTTGTATTGCAACTGCGAGCCTAGGCTGACCGTAGCAGCCAATCAGTCATTATATATTAATGGTCAATGCCACATCACATAGGTTTTGAAAGACATGGATGGTGACATTGATGCTGCTATAGAGTACATGTTAGCTGAGCAACTAATACTGGGTTCTGATGATGCGGATGGAGATCCTTATCTGGACTATGCATGTGATGGTAAACATTTGATTATTCTGAAGTCTAAAGTGGCTGTCCCTATGAATGAATCTCATCCTTATCTTTCTTGAGGACTTCAGCTTATGACAATTAATGAAATTTATGGTGAAATTTGGAGTACTTCTGGGATTCCATAGATTGAGTTTTCATTGTTTAATCCTATTCATATTCTTGCCAAACATGAGCTGCCTCACCTGAGCAAGCGTTTCATGCACACCCCTCAATTCAGTAGCATAAATCTAGTAGGTAAAACCTATACTGGGTGTTGTGCTCATGGCATTTTGGGTTTATGCCTCACTAATATGATATTTACCATTTACTGGTTATTTTTAAGATCATCAAAATATGATAACAGTACCAAGAAGCATGAACGGTGTTATAGAAAGCTCAAGTAAGACTACGGCCTTGTTGGAGAGCTTCTAGCTACTGCAGCTTCTCCCAGAATTTTCAGCTCTCTCAAACAATCCAGATTCTTAGCTATAGAATCCAGAAAATGAACTAGATGCCGGTTACCAACTAGCTGTTTCTCAGAATTTTAAGCTCCCACCAAACAGCCCATACCAGTTGCTGTGCTGGGTGTTTTCCATGTTCAGTTCCTCTGCAATTGCCAAAGGTCAATATCATACCCTGTAGGAGGTATATCTGTACTAAGAGTTAGTGTGCTATCTAACCACCCTGTAGGAGGTAACATTTTTGTTTGGCTGGTTATTGTTGGAGACCACTATTTTAGAAGCACAAGTAGTTCATTTTGTAAACTGAGGGCATTAACTGTTTCAATTAATATCCAATTTCTCATACCTGTTCAAGTAATATTTGTTTTACATTGGCCATGCACTGAACTCATTTCCTTTATTGTGTATATTACCTGGATCAGCAGAGTATGTACAGACCATAGAGGATGAGCTTAGCATGAAGCAGGATGAGAGTCAACTGGATGAACACAAGAAAGAAGAAAAGGACTGTTCTAGCAAAGGCGAAACAGCTCAGAAACACAACAGTTCACATTCTAAAAAGGTAACTATCATGTGGACGACTCTTAATAGTTTCCAAACATTGAATTGCCTTGTTAAAATACTATGTTGGAAGGAATAAATAGGAATTATCCCTTTATTCTTTTGCACAGGGAAAGTCAAAAACCAAGGAATGCTCTTGTGGATCTGCTAGGAAGCACAAGCCTTCTTGTAATTTAGCCACAACTGTAGCATCGAGAGAACCTCCAAAAACAACTGCACCATCGAGAGAACCTCCAAAGTATGGCTTTATAATGGTTTTGCTAAAAATATGGCGCCACATTTTTGACTTGATTTCAGTCATTTTTTTCCCATTCGGATTGCTACCATTCTTTTATACTCCTATGTAAGTATGTTTCGCTCTACTATCTCCTCTTTCAAGTAGGTAATTAATTGTTTTCATCCTAATTCTCTTATATAGTGTGTGCTGCAAAAAATATGGTGTAAGTATTGAGATTTGGTTTTAATTTTTTTTTGTTTTTTGGTGGAAAATGTGGTGTCTTAAATATAGCTAATCCCCTTTATAATGTTTCTGTCCTTTTGTTTGTCTTTTACCATATTCTATTCTACAACTGAACTTATGTCCTGCTGTTCGCATTGTAAGCATTCTTTCAAATGGAATTTTTGGGGGGTGAAATCAATATTTCCAGCGTATTTGCATAGTGCATTGCTGCTGTTGTATCTGGCCTATGAAACCTTAACAGTATTGCTGCAAAATATGCACTTATCCCATATGCCTTAAAGTCACCGACCTGATTACTATTTCCTTTTTCACTAGGGAGGTTAGTTGCATTGCATGTTTAACACAATGCTGGAAGTGTTATGTACTAATACTATCTGCTTAATGTGCTTTACTATCAGGACCAAAGGTGGCCAAGGGAAAGGCCAGAAGGGGAAGAAGCAAAAGAAGAAAGAACAAGATGAAACACCAGCCATCCGGGATCACGATTCTAAAGTTGCACCAGATCTAGGAGCTCTTTGCATATGAACATGGTCGACGAGGGTGATGTTCTCCTCAGTGTGTAGCCGCCAGGAATGTGCGGGGCATCAGTTTTGAAGAGAGATGTCTGCGGTCTACCTTGCTTGGACGCCATGATCTAGATGGTGATTTTTCTCTTGCCCAGTTGACGGCTTCACGTCACTGCCTTCTGCTGACTGACTGTTGTTAAGCCTGTCCAAGTTTCAGGATGGGATCATGGGACTGACGGTGAGGTGGTGATCTCAGTGGGCACAGAAACATGAATGAGCTGTTGATACATAGCTTCTTTTCTTCATACATACTTTACCTGTGGATCAATGCCATGTAAAACAATGATCAGTCGTGCAAAGCATATTAATTTTGTGAGAATTATATCATAATAGAGTATTCCCTGTCCTAACAAAACAAAAATACGCTCTATTGTTTGAGATGGAGGGATAGTATAATGGGTTCATCCTGGAGTATATATAGCCAGTCAGTCACAATTGCCTTCATGTTCTCGTGAAAGTATCTGTTTTAATATAATACTGTTTTCTCGTGAAGTATCTTATCTGGTAAGCAGCTTATCTACTTCACCAGCTACAAGTCCATACCCCCATGTGATTACAGAAAAAGAAAATCCATAAGACGAAGCTACAGGGTTGTTGCTTAGCAATCGGTGAAGCTCTCCTGGGTCAGTCAGGAAGGGAAAGCATCTTGCAATCAGAAAAATGGCAAAACGTGGCTCGCACTAACTCAGAGTCAAATGCTTTCCTTTTGGGACTTTGTGAGAGCTCCCTTTGGGTCACTGAAAAAGCAATGTGCGAGTTGCGAGATAAGAAAGCCATTCGATGATGACTCGGATAATCAAAGTTTAATTGACATGTCATTAGTCGTGCTGGTGATAGATATTAACCCCGTCAGTTGGGTTTGGGGTTGTGCGTTGCGTAGGGCAACAAGCTAATCCTTCCAATTAATCATAGTTGCACTATTCAAATTATTATTGCGTGCATGAATAATTGGTGCACGAGGACGGAGCCTACTCTAGGATATTGTCGATACCATCTGAATTCTCGTGGGAAAAAAATAATAGGAGACGATAAGAGGAATCGACTGGAATCTGTGGGAGATGGGCTCCGGTCGGCGCAGTGTCCTACAGCTATTGGATCACCCATTTTTGGCTCTTGGCTAGCTAGTAGACACCGGCCACTAGCAATGCTCACAGGCAAAGATAGATTTTTTTTAATTGACATTTAGTAATTCTCTTTCAAAAGAAAAAGTAGACAAATAGACAATCTGTAGCTGCCTGGACATATCTTCGGCTCTTCGATGAGCAAAACGATGCTACTGTGCGTTCATTGGGTCAGCAGGGCACACCAGGACACCGGCGAGACTGGAAGGCGTGAGATGTGGCCATCAACCAACAAGGTGGGGAGATAGTACGCAACAGACGCGTGTTGCGCGAGCCGCGCTGACGCTGCACATACAGCGCGGACATGCCACAGGCCACAGCAGCAAGCGGAGCGGAGAAGTGGCCGCTCAAGCCAAGCAACTGCAGGATCGGAGGCGAAATCGCGGAAGCAAACCTCCCCCGAGTGGGCAAAAGAAATTCACGCGGAGTTGGCCACACTGCCGACTGCCCGCGTCTCGGGCAAAATTTGCCGACCTCGCCGCCCGCCGCCCGGTAAACCTCGCGGCAGATTGCACGTTGGATTTCCCTGGTATCCATCGGTGAAAAGCGGCAACTACTACAGTAGCGCTTCGTACACCAGTGCCGATGATTCTAGTACGGCACTATCCCGTCAGTGTGTGCGGCCGATTAACACGTGATCTACTCACTGGTCCCCGGTGGTGCACATAAACAAGCATGGAGTAATCAACCACTGATCTGCAGCACGTTGCGCATTTCGGGCTGCGAAGGGAAGGGACGGACCCCAGCCACGTTCCCGTCATGTTCAGACGTTGTGATGCTCATGTTCGCGCATGGGGCTCCGGTTCCCAAGGAGATCGGATAGGATTTCAGACACCCGGTCACCGGCCACCGCTAACACCGGCCGGCGAGCGGCCGCGAACATGCATGGCGTCTCGTCTGTCGTCTCCCGATCGACCGTGTTCGTGTACGCTACCGTGGTGACCAACCAGCCGCTCTCTGTGCAGTGCATGGGCGAGTTGTGTCTCCTCCCAACTCTTTTTCCTTATCGGGTAAGCAAACGGCCGTGATTGGGGGACCAACTGCCCCGGTGTCGTGGTACGTATCAAGTACACCTCCGTCTTAAAATATACTAATTATTTTGTAGCAGAGTAGCAAGTCAAAAAATTTAACCACCGCAAAAAAAGTCAAAAAATTTAAACTTTAATTATTAATAGTAAAAAAATTTAAAAAAGATCAATCATGTAAAATTGATGGTATTAGATTTATCATTAAACAAACTATTATAATATGTAATTTTTTTACCTTAAAATACTAGTTTTACAATACTAGTTTTACAGATATTGGTAGTCAAACTAATATTTTATATTTTAGAGACCTTATTATAGTTTAAAATCATTATATTTTGGGAGGTAGCGAGTACCGCGGTAGGACGCGCCACCACGGAGCGAAAGGAACACGAGATTCGTCCGACCGCCGCCTCGCGCTCGCCGGCAGTTGGCCATCGTTGACGCCTCGCTCGGGCGCCCGGAAATGGTGTCTCGCCACGTGTGGATATTATGGGTACCCCATACCCATACGGCATGGTTATCCGACTAGTCATAGGGGATAACTTATATCTATGGAATATGTAATAGATCATGACTCGGGTATTACGTTTCCTTATATATTACGGAACAGCCTAAAGTCCTGGTTTGATAAGATTGTAAAGTAGACCGATACCGTGTTGGTTAAGGTTTCTATCTTGTAATCCTGCCCCCCATCATAAGGTGGGCAGGAAGCCCTCTAGGGGGCATGAGACAACCTGATCGTCAGATTAATACACACTCGGCGGATTCAAATCCCCAAACAGGAGTAGGGTATTACCTCTCATTGAGAGGGCCTGAACCTGTCTAAATCCTTTGTCTCCGCATCCATCCACTTTTAGGTCTCGTGCGCTACCCCTTTTATTATTGCCGAATTCATGTTTCGACAGTTGGCGCGCCAGGTAGGGGCTGCGTCGAGTTTTCCGTCGAGAAGTGCGATGGAACTTTGTGCTGGCATCATCGGTGCTACTCTTGTCTTTGGCCGTGATCCTCTCAACAAAAGGGCAGGGTCTTCGTCGCCAAAAATTCTATCTGGATCTGGTCAATCAACCAGGAGATTAATCACCGATCGAATCGATCTACAACCAGCTTGTTACCGTCAATTTTACCTCCGTCAGTGAGATCAAATCCGTCGCTACAATGCTGCCATATCTGTTGGTCCGTCGGTTTCGTCACCAGGGCATGATTTGAAGCAATCAGCAAGCAGCCGCCGCCAAAATCATGCGAAGATCACCGTTGGTTGAGCCTGTACATCACCAAGTCAATACTACTCGGATACGTACGGCAAGACACAAAGTCCAGGATACAAATTAAATATACCTGGTCAAATCTGTGGTCAAGGAAATTAATCCATACACAAATCAGCTATTACATGCACAAAGTGGTCTCCAAACTAATCCGTGCATGTGCTACCGACGATTACATGTCTACACGGCTGCATGACACGGCTGCATGCTACGGTTCATCCATTGACAGGCCTCGAATCAAAGTTGGATCACAAACCAGGTTTATCGTTCTAAATTTTCTTATATAAATTAGAATTAATTCACAGATCACTAATTATTATTTGATCTATTATTTTATACATGTACCGCCGGCCGCCTTCGTCGCTGCCGATTGGTTTCATCGCCTCCACGGTTGGTGTGCGCCGCTGCCGTTGCTGATGGCGATATCGTCTTCACCGCCGGCCTGCCTCCGTCGCCGCCGACTGGTGTCCTCGCCTATACGGTCGGTTGGTCACACCACCGTTGATGGGCATCGTCATCTACACCGCCGGCCTGCCTCCGTCGCCGCCGACTGGTGTCCCCGCCTATACGGTCGGTTGGTCACACCACCGTTGATGGGCATCGTCATCTACACCGCCGGCCTGCCTCCGTCGCCGCCGAGTGGTGTCCCCGCCTATACGGTCGGTTGGTCACACCACCGTTGATGGGCATCGTCATCTTCACCGCCGGCCTGCCTCCGTCGCCGCCGACTGGTGTCCCCGCCTATACGGTCGGTTGGTCACACCACCGTTGATGGGCATCGTCATCTTCACCGCCGGCCAGCCTCCGTCGCCGCCGATTGGTGCCTCCGCCTACACGGCTGGCCTATTATGCCGCCGCTGTTGGGCGTCTACGACTTCACCGCCGGCCTGCCTCCGTCGCCGCCGAGTGGTGCCTCCGCCTACACGGCTGGCCTATTATGCCGCCGCTGTTGGGCGTCTACGACTTCACCGCCGGCCTGCCTCCGTCGCCGCCGAGTGGTGCCTCCGCCTACACGGCTGGTCTATTATGCCGCCGCTGTTGGGCGTCTACGACTTCACCGCCGGCCTGCCTCCGTCGCCGCCGAGTGGTGCCTCCGCCTACACGGCTGGCCTATTATGCCGTCGCTGTTGGGCGTCTACGACTTCACCGCCGGCCTGCCTCCGTCGCCGCCGAGTGGTGCCTCCGCCTACACGGCTGGCCTATTATGCCGCCGCTGTTGGGCGTCTACGACTTCACCGCCGGCCCGCCTCCGTCGCCGCCGAGTGGTGCCTCCGCCTACACGGCTGGCCTATTATGCCGCCGCTGTTGGGCGTCTACGACTTCACCGCCGGCCTGCCTCCGTCGCCGCCGAGTGGTGCCTCCGCCTACACGGCTGGTCTATTATGCCGCCGCTGTTGGGCGTCTACGACTTCACCACCGGCCTGCCTCCGTCGCCGCCGACTGGTGTCCTCGCCTATACGGTTGGTTGGTCATACCACCGTTCATGGGCGTCCACGTCTTCGCCGACCGGCTGGCCTTCGCCGCCGCCGACTGGTGTTTCTGCCTACACGGCTAGCCTATTATGCCGCCGCTGTTGGGCGTCTACGACTTCACCGCCGGCCTGCCTCCGTCGCCGCCGACTGGTGTCCCCGCCTATACGGTCGGTTGGTCACACCACCGTTGATGGGCATCGTCATCTTCACCGCCGGCCTGCCTCCGTCGCCGCCGATTGGTGCCTCCGCCTACACGGCATGCCTATTATGCCGCCGCTGTTGGGCGTCTACGACTTCACCGCCGGCCTGCCTCCGTCGCCGCCGATTGGTGCCTCCGCCTACACGGCTGGCCTATTATGCCGACGCTGTTGGGCGTCTACGACTTCACCGCCGGCCTGCCTCCGTCGCCGCCGAGTGGTGCCTCCGCCTACACGGCTGGCCTATTATGCCGCCGCTGTTGGGCGTCTACGACTTCACCGCCGGCCTGCCTCCGTCGCCGCCGAGTGGTGCCTCCGCCTACACGGCTGGCCTATTATGCCGCCGCTGTTGGGCGTCTACGACTTCACCGCCGGCCTGCCTCCGTCGCCGCCGAGTGGTGCCTCCGCCTAC